CTATGTAATTACGGTAATTACTGTTTATTTCAAATAAAATGCCCAGGATGCTTTGTTTGTTTGTGTATACTGTATACCTAAAATTTATTCATCGAAAAAAACGCAGATATGGGGTCTCGCGGGTCTCGCCAACCCAAAATTGGCTATTATCAGGGCCAAATACTGGAACTGATCTTCACAGTGGGAACTGATCCACTGCAAAATAAACAGGTCCGGTCCAAGTTCGAGTTCAAGTCCAGACCACTTTTGCGTTGTCTACGTTGTACGGACTCGGAGTCAAACTCGAACTAATCGGCCAGTGGAACAGGAAAAAGTGTGGACTCGGAGTAGGGACACAGATTCAGAGACGGAGTACATTACACCGACAGACTCGTTTCGATCAACGGCTCCGGATTGTCGGGATCACGCCGCACCGGTGCGGCCGCTGGAACGGATAGAGTACGAGAGTGTACCGCCGATAGGATATAAAGCTGCTTTCCAGTATGTAGCTGTATTCCTTTCAAGAGTTTGAAACACTAGAGCTACTCGCTCCGGTGTGTCAACCCGATTTGAAAGGAACAGATTCGCCGACTTTCGTGCATTTATGGTTTACTTTGGGCTTGAGTACTCAGGTGCAACAAACACTTTTCGGAAGGAATAAGCGCGTAACGCCCCGGAGCCTCTATGCCTGGAGCTGTTCCGGAGCTCCTCATACTATTCACCATTTTCACCTATTTTCGTTATTAGCTAATCACGGATAATTATGTAATCACGGTAAAAATGTCGGTTCGATGCACCAAAGGATTTTGCACTCAAACTAGTTAATTGTGATTTTGTAATGAGGGCCACCTGAAAGGAACTCACCGATAACGTCGCAAATTTCCTATAGATTTTAATAAAAGGCAATAAAAGCCCATTTTGGGTTGGCGGTATGTGGGGTTGGCGAGACCCATTCTGCGTTTTTGTCGATGAATTTTAATTTTATAAACAAACAAACAAAACATCCAAGGCATGTAGGGCATTTTATTTGAAATAAACAGTAATTACATAGTCATTACCTAGTTATTGGAATCAAGAATCAAGTCATAAATTTGCATAGAATGTAGGTACTACACCCTATAATAATGATAGGGCATCTTCTACCTCTTCAAGAAGATCTATGATCTACGACATTGGCTTATACCTAGATCAGATCATCCAAGGCTTCAAAATAATTTTCCCTCTCATTCCAACGCCTTGGAAACGGAAACCCATCTAACACAATTTCATTATCCAAATTAATCATTGTCAAATAATGTCTCTCCACCTCCATATTCCTGATTTCAGTTCTTTTTTTTTTCCTGGCTCACTTCACACAAATTTGTTCCAGTTTTTTTTTTACAAAAATGTTTGTAAAATGTAAATATGAAATTTGAAATCGGAACCAAAACAAACAAAACACCTAACCTCATTTTATTAACTAGCCGCGGTTATCTTGTTCTAAATTCCAGGCCATCGAGCAATTTAAAGTTAATTGCCAATAGGCGAAAAAAACGCTTGGTGCATATGAAAAATATTTTGTGATCACGGCTAAAGTCTTAATCAGAGAATTTGTGCAATGGTGCATACGGGCATTAACAAGCCATGAAGTTGGAAATGACGGCAACGTCGCGTATGGTGCTATTTTGTTATTGGGTTATGTGTTTCTGTGTATTGCTTTCATTGTGTATTGTTGCAGTTTAGTATTTTTGTGGGCATTATTGACGAAAAAGTGGATAGAAACACACCAATATATTGCCCATATTTAGTTGATACCTGTTCCTTTGTGCTTTGATTGCAAATTTTTAGCAAATGGGTACAGGAGCAAAAATGAAGGTAAGGTAAGGTTTAACAATAAAAACAATATTAATATTTGTCTGCAAGAGCATATGTCTCGATATATTACCTAAGATATTTAAACTTGTTCCAGATGCCATGAAACTACTGTGTTCCTGGGTGCAAATCGAACTATTAGGAGTTCCTTAAAAACTGAAGAAATGCAAACATTTTCATTTCCAAAAAAATTCTGAATTGCAAAAAATGTGGATGAAAGCAATACACCAAGATAATTATACCCGAGATTATACAATAACGAAAAATTCTGTGGTGTGTTGTAAACATTTTGAAGAAACCGAAATAATTAGATTTGAAACAAACAAGGATAAAGGCGTAGTTCGAGAGTTCAAACTGAAACGTCCAACTCTTAAAAGTAGGTACCTCTTATTTTCGAAAATCAGCTCAAGTATTTGAATGGACCTGCCTTCCGAAGAAAGAAAAAGTTAGATTTTTCAAAAGACATACTGAAACATAGACCTATAACACTTTAGACTCTAGCAATATATTCATTTAAATCAATTATTTACTGTTCTTATTTACACAAATAGTTATATTATTCATTGAATTACTGTTTTTGGCCCTTTAGTACAATAAATTATGCATTTTTCGTGATTCATATTATTAAAATAAAAAATATATATTTATAAAAACGAACACCACCAGAACACTTGGCGGTAAGATTGCGGTGTTGCCTTTTTAACTTCATGGCTTGTTAAATGTAGGAGGCTGTGTTAGTACTCATAACTGCGAAATTCGCAATTTTTTGACATTGCTTCGACAATTTGACGTTTAATTCACGCATAAAACGTCAATTTGTCGAAGCAATGTCAAAAAATTGCGAATTTCGCAGTTATGAGTACTAAGCTTTATCAAGCATAATCGATTATGCTGGTTATGTGATGTGTCAATTGTGTCATACTCCCCTAACTCCTCCACAATCAAATTCTGGGATCAAGAACACTTAATTTCTTCTGTAAGAACAGACCGGAAATCACCTTTTCTACATTTAAAATCGACGAAACGCCCGAATCGCGAGTATTCCATTGAGGTGTGCGGGTGACGTCATCACTAGAAGCTGCTGATAGTGACGTCACTCGCAGGCCCAAAGTTCATCAAAGACGATTTTTAGCCTGGAATGATTATTTATCGGTAAATACCGTGGTTATTCTTTTGGTTGACAACTTTGACATCCAAGTGTGACGTCAGAGCCGCCACCACTCAAGAATCATAACCCAAGGAACTGATCGCTGAAATGATTTGGTTATAGCAGTGTAGGATTATGTTTATTATTCTTATTTGTTTTTTCGTTTCAACAATAGTTTTTTGTTCAGGTACAAAAAATGGAGCTGAATCTCTCGTTAGTCTCGTTTATCGAACCGATTTTCTTTGGGGATGATCTAAACCTCGATCTAAACAAGGTGAATTGCAGTGAGTGAGTGAATGTATACTTCTTTCATTGTGCCAGGCTACAACGCAACTGCAAAATCACAAAACACCAATACAAATTCCAAAAATAATAACAATAACATCAAAAAGCTGTAACCAAAAGATTAACCCAAGTCCAAAGCTGGGTTATAATCGGTTATAAGTGGTAAATACCAAAAGCAAATCAGCTGATATTTGACGTCACAACTTCCCCTACTTTGGTTAAAACCGCGACGGCGGAAATGCATTAATCCTTTTCACGTGGCTCCGGTTTAACAAACCGGAACATACCGCTCAAATTCGAGTGGCATCGAAGATGTCACTTTGTAACCGGGTTAGAAAGCGGTATGTCATTTCTCTAACCGCCTCGGCGATATGGTTACGTCGAGCGGTTAGAAGAAAAAAATATAAACAACGGAGAGCGGGAAAGTTCGGAAAAGTGTAAACAGTAAATAAAAAGTTGTGTTTTGTATATAATATTATATTCAATGAATTTGAAGCCCGAAAGCCGTTTTTCTTTGTATATAGCCTGATTTACGAGGCCCGTGCATTAGAAACTGTTCAGTTTGCAGGTGGATTAGCATAAATAAATACCACCTAGGGCCGGTTTCTCCCTAGCGGGCACATAATAGCGGGTCACCTCTGGGTTGGTTTTATTTTTAACTCCAGGGTAAGCGTGTGCATTTGCAGTTGCTATGTTTACCCTGGAGTTATGCTTAACCAGGGGGTGCCTTGCTATAATCTTTGCTATTGGGATACCGACCCTAATTTACCTGCTGATGCACGGACTACGTAAATCACCCTGTATTATACTCAAAATATGTACCAGAAACGAGACAATCCCAGTTTACCTACTCGATAGGCTGTTGTAGTTTGTAGGTAACGAGAACTTATAAACTTTAGATAAACTGGTTCTAGTAGTCTATCCACCCATGGTCCACATCTAAAGCATTGAACGAAAAGAAATTAAACTACCTACTTTTCACTTTTTAGCTTGCTGTTATAAAAAAAAATGAAATACCCGATAATTCCACAATTTTGAAAAAAAAAACTTGCTTCCCATATTTCTTCACATTTAATTAATTGTAAATTGCTCACATTTGAGATAGTTTTGTCCATAGTAGACATAATAGGTAGGTCAGGGGTCAGAATTAACGGCACTGACCAACCCAACCTCATATCGAATGTAAAATAACATTTTTCTAACCATTCGTTTTCAAGTGGCATTTTCAGTAATGTCATCACTTGACATACCGCCTCTAACCGTTTTGTAACCTGGTTAGTTTAAACCGGAGCGACGTGAAAAGATGTATTGGCTATAACCAAATAATAATCATTCCAGAGCCGCTTTCCAGTGCCTAAATTGTTAGAGTATCATGCTCCTGAAGTGTGACGCTCCTAAACTGTTCGACATAAGCAGCACTGGAACGCTCTCGTCTTAACCCCCACCATTTCGGATTTCAGGAGCATGAAACACAGACAAAAGGGTTGGTGCTCGAAGGGGCAGGGGATAACAGAAATGAGTAGCTCAAGTGTACGACACTCTAAGCACTGGAACGCGCAAAGCAATTGTGGAGCACTCCTGAGCTGCTAGGGCGTCGCACCGGTGTCACACTCACACGGGTGTGTCATTCCTGAACTCGCCCCAAGATTAAGCGATTATCCTCGCGAAAAAATTGTAAAGATTTTGAAAGCACCCGTGCGACAACACGACAGATGACAGTTGACAAGCCACCGCTTTTCCCATCGTGAATCGGCTCAAGTCAAAAGTCAAAGTTGCTTTCCCTTTCCATTTTTTAATTCTTGAGCTTGACAACCAAAAATAGCTGTTTTTATTGGGATTCGTCAAAAAAAAAAATAAAAAAAAAATATTTGCTGTTTGTGCTCTGTGCCCGTCTAAAGTGCTAATTCGTTGAATTCCGTCTATTCGAATTTCCATTATTTATAGGAAAGGTAAGTTTGTCAATGCCCAAAACTTGGATTGATTACCTATTGAAAGAGAAGCGACTGACCAAAACCATTATTGTTCTAAAATGGTGGCTTTTTTTGAAAAAAATGACTTTATTGTTTTCTAGGATATGAAAATGCCACCCAATAAAGGTAGCGACAATGGAATCTTTGAATATGAGGAAAACTCTTTGTCCATCAACAGTGAGGAAATCGAAAATAATGGGGTGGAAGATTTCAATTCGCCCCCAGATGATGATTTTTCTGAGTACCTGTGGATGGAGAATGAAGAAGAATTTGACAAAGAGGTAAGACAATTTGTAAGTGAGGGATGTCTCTCCAAAAACAGCAGGTTGGATGAATCATTGTTAATGGGACTTCTGTATCAGTATCATGGTACATAAATATAAGTTACGCAGAGAACACTAAAGCCTAGGAGAACTTATTGATTACTCTAGTAATGGTAACAATTTTTATGTGCGACTGACTATCCGGAGTATCCGGTACTAATTATTTGGACGACGGCAAAAACCTGATTCTCGTTTATGAATATCTTCGATGACATTTTTATTGATTGAGATTCTGCAGTAGCCGTGATTCTTAATGTTAACTCGTCCTGTATCCGTCTCATTGAATTTGTGGCAGGGTAACTGGAATTTGAAATAGAGCCAAGCCAAACTGACAAATTCCACATTTTAAATTTTTTTTAATAAATAATTTGTATCAAATTATGAATTCTGATCTAATTTATTTTTTTAAAGGTAATGCAACGACTAGAAGAAGAAGCTTTAATGGAAGAGTGCATCGCCTACATGAATACTGAGAACACTTCTCCCACCTTCTACCCAAGTACTGGGCAAGGGTAAGTCATTTTAATTTTAAAAATAATTTTTGTTTAGCAATCATCCTAACTACCTTATATACAACCTCACCTACTTTTAAATGTTTTCTTTAAACACTTACACTAAATATATCGACATATGGCATTTCATTTGCTAACTTACATCATTTTCATAAACCAGATGAGATTTTATAATTTCTTATATAATGATCAATTCTAGAGCAACTAGATTAAAGTTTTTAGCCTAACAAATCTGGACAATTAATCATTGAATTTATTATTTTATATAAAAGACAAGGATCATCAATAATAATAATTGTATCTAGAAGCTACACCTTCTTTGATAAATTTCTGCTATTAATAGTGGAAAATAAATAATTTGTTGTCAAGATAACAAAAATGCAAAATTGTACGAAAGGATCAGGCACGGATCTTATGAGAAAAAATAAATTTCATGATAAAAAACATTTTATTTATTAAAAACGTAAATGCATAGATAAATTCAGTTAGCTCAACGAAAAAAGTAATATTTGGTTGTCTGGTGTCAAGGAAACTGTCCAAGGTTTATTGACATGGATTTATTAATTCAACCAAAAATACTGACCTCTTTTACACGCTACGAATTATAATTACTTATTACTATATTATTTTATTTTGTGAACAGAATATAGAAACTTGAATTAATTGAAAATAAAATATGTACCTATCTGCAACCCCAATCACTTCATAGCATTTCTTCAAAACCTAGAAATACCCTCTTAACTTGTAATGTTTATTATCATTACAGTGTAAAACTTCACTTTTATATTCCAAAACTCATTCAATGCACATAATATGAGGTGAAATTCCTTTAATCATATCACCAGTGTCGGGATAACATTTCCTCTGGCCATCTGCAACCATATTATACATATTAATAGTTGTGAACAGTTGGAACTGAATCAATCAGCAAACTTTGTAGAGCACTCTCATGAGCAACAGTTGACATTAATTGTGTGATTCAGTTTTCTAGATGAATTTCAGTGCATCAGTGCAAACCTTTTTTCTCATTTTAAATTGCTTAATAATCTAAGTGGTTTGGGTATACCAATACGGATTTGAATGAAAAGGTTGCATGTCTCCAAAATGTACAGTACACAGAATGTATTTCCTCATACATACCAAAAAAAAAATCAGTTTTAATTGTAGCACTACTGGCACTTTTTGGTTCACACAGGGTCAGCTATATTTTGTTATTCTACTGAGAAACAATGTTTTGTAGCTGTACATCTAACAATCCAATTTATTTCAAAAAATAAGGTGGAGACTTAGTTGAGTTGCTCCAGATTGACACACCACATCTTAGATCAATACTTGTTTTTTTGGCAATTTCAACTTATTAGCTCTGCTGGTTAATTCGCCAGCTTTATAATCGCCATTTGTCTAATTTAATAAGAATTTCTGGTATCAAGAGAATCCTACATCTTATGTATTCAAACTATGTTTTCATCCGATAATAGTGACCTTAGAGAGTGAGTTAAAATTTAAATAGGTTCGTTTCCAGAAATAAAATTAATGTTAACAATCAATATCTCAGGTCAGCTGAATCCAGTCCGGCTGTCACTTCAGAACTCAATCCAGAGGCAGCTGAATTCGTTCCTTCTAGCCAAATGGAACGAGTCCCAGCGGAAACATCCACTTCAACAAAGTCCCCTTAAAAAGTCTGGTCTCATCTTGATGTATATATTTGTTCGGTTCTTGACACTTGATTCGAATAGGATCCCTTTATCTACTTCATGGTTATTTTATATCATTTTAAGATCTCAGCCCGTCCTATTTCTATAGATACCTAAATTACAATTATATTTTATTGGTAATAATATTGATTATATCATTTAATGAGCTATTATGATGGCCATATTACAATTTCGAAATAAAAAGACAAATTAATATACTTAAGACAGTTATTAAAATACTCGTTAAAATAAAATGATATAAAATACCCAGGTATGGCATGAGCTATGATGTTTGACACTAAGTTCAATTCTACTGTTTGTTTATTTGAAAATAATTACCCAGGAATAAGGATGACATAATGAAAGTTTCATGACATTCAATTTGGCAGGAAGTATAAGTTATCAGAATCATTTTCAACATTTTTGGTTGATCTTGCCATCCAGTTTGATTTAATTTTTGTACAAATTGTTATACTTTTATCTTGGGTAATTAGTGAGTTAGCTGTATTTTGAGAATTGGCATAATTTATAATATGTACTTACCTACTTATTTTTTTATTCAAAATATTTTGCCGTTGCTTACAGATCACGTAGTTTATAAGTTATGCCAAGTGAATATTCTTGTAGTTGATAAAGTTTCCTTTTCGGTTTTACTACAAGAGTATTTTTCTCGAGTTTGAGCTTTTCTTCGATTTGGTTACACTTTTTGTAATTTTCAACTACAGTAGGTAATATACCCAGTTGTAATGTTTAAGTCCCAAAGTAATTTAACCAGTATGATATTACACCATTGAGATTATTTTTACACCCTTGAGACTTGGGATTATTTTCTGCATATTAAACTATGACTAGTAAAGTACATTTCTAGTGACATTCTAGTCTTTTTTATATTTTCTCCTAAAATTAACGAACTTAGTAAGTAGTTAGTCTTTCATTTAGTTTTTTTTTCTAATATTTTGCAACCTTTCTGAAGGTTTAATAGGTGCTAGAACTAGAAAAAAAACTTCAAATACAGAGGTTGTCTATAAAAAATGCCAACAAAAAAAATAATTTTAATTTGTTTTCAATTTATTTATTTAAATTAATTTATAAGCTGTTATAAAACTGCCAATTCTTAACTGTCACCACTCTTGAAACCTATGATTATACATACTTGAAATGTGTTTTGAAAATGCAATAAGAAGATGTCCTATTATTGAAAAAAATGTCAAAATCTTATATTATTCGCTTTGCCCCATTTTTTTGTTAGCCTTTGTAAAAGGTACATTAGGTCTGTTTGTTATCCTCCATTAGTGCACAACAGTTTACACTTTTCTGCACTGAGGCGTTTGTTATGCGGTTAGTGCAAATTGTGTAAGGCGTTTGTTATTTCAGTGTAGGGTGCCCAATCTTGTTTTACTTACACCTGCTCAAGAGAAGGTGTAACAAGTGCAGAATAGCGAGGGGGTAATAACTACTTCAATGATGCTGTCTTCAGAGCTGGAAAATAGGGAATCTTCATCTTCCTCTATCATTTCCGACAATTAAACCTTGTAAATTTTAGTTTTTTCATTAATATTACACATTTTTTTCTTGGTCAGTTTCCACAATTTACTGAATAATAATTTTTTGAGGTTAGAGAATTATCCACTCCTATCGCTGCACGAACTGCACTAGCAGTCTTCACTAACCTATCCTACACGGGAATAACAAACAGACATATTATATTAGTATTGTAAGTGAAATTATATTATTTGTATTATAAGTAAAAACATACAACTTTGGTATTTTAAGGTTTTTTTTGTGTCAATAAGCAGAGTGCAAAATATTTTAAAACCCTGCACAACATACATACCTAGATACATATAGACCTGTTTGGTAATTGAAAATATTCTAGACAAAATTTTAGTGCTTAACAATAGCAGTATTAGTTAAATTTTGTGAACTAAATAAATTTTTCAATCAAGGTATACTAGGTTTCAAATTACTATATTGTTTGACTTTATTAACATAATTCATCTACCTTATTGAATTACATTGTTCCAAAATCCTCAAAGGTCTCAAAATGCACCCAGGAGCGGACTTTACTTGCATCTTTAAGGTAGGTGGATTGATTTTTATCAAAACCGTAAGAAGTCGGTGGAGCGGTGGAGCTAATAGAATTGTAATATAATTGATGTCTTTTATGGACAAAATGAAAATATTACACTAGTAGTGATGAAAAAATTAGGGAAACGCAGAAAAGTAATTCATAGTATCAACTGTCTAAATAATAAAAAAGATCAAACAGAAGCATTATGGTAACTGAGAGATGTGATGAATACTTTTGATTCAACTATTTGCTAAATATTCTCTAGGTTATGTAGTATGAAACGCAACAATTTCTCTCACATTCACATAGCTGACTATACCCAAATGAGCGTTCCATAGCCGAGCGTGACGGCTCGGTTTCACCCAATGCCAATAAAAAAGTGTGCTGTACGCGCCTGAAGAAGTTTTCACCTCAAAAGAGATTGTAACAATACATATTTGCGGCATATTATATAGTCATGAGCATTAAAAGAGAAAAATACAACAGATTATGATAAATGTGAATACAACTACTCAAAGGAAAGTACCTACGTACCGCAATAACCTTGGGACGCTCCCGAAAAAACAAAATCAGCATAACGTAAGTCAAGGCTGGTAAAGAGCAAAATAAAGAAAAGACAGGAAGTACACAAATGGTTCAATATCAGCAAAAACCTCAAACAAGGATAACTATCAAATGATCTCCTATTATACACACTGTGCTTCGCAGACGATCAAGTAGTCCTTTGGGTCTCATTTAGGTATTGGCCCATCTTTGCAGCACCTGAAAAAGTTTATTTCTGTATAAAACTGTAAGACTATTAAAGCAACGCACCAAAACTAGAAATAATTGCAAGCCCAATCTGCATTTAATTTACAAAGACCCACAGGAACTGCCACATTGTTACCATTGTGGTTGTTGCTGCGGATTCTCATTTTGTCTATTACTGCGTAGTAACGTTTGGACTTCATTAATTTGTGAAAATTAGTATATGTGAATTTGAATTTATGGTGCAAATTGAAACTTATTTTTTATCTTTTTTTTTTTTTTTAATTTGTTTATTTGCTTTGTTTTTTTATTACAAAATAATGGGATATGGCTAGGTGGAAGAACAGAAATTCATTTGCTTTTTGGTTTGGCTCTCTTGACTCTCAAGGACCTAATTCGGATTATATTTGGTGCAAAAACAAATATTGTAAAAATGCATTAAAAAAATCAATATAAATACTTTAAAAATGGATTTAATTTTTTATTTTACTTATACGATCCTGAAGAATCAGACAGATTAAAATAAATATAGTCTTTTTCAAAAGTTAGAATCTCCCTTTTTGATGTGTTTCCAGTGAATATCTTCCACAGCGGCATGAGAGTAAATCGGGAATGTGAAAGCGGATGTGAAATCATAACCCATGCGCAGTGATTCGTGGGCAGCTACTTCAGCGCTTGCGGCGAAAGGTAACATTAGATTTTCATCTCGATACCTATAGTAGATCACTGTAAATTTGTGCAGTGAGTTAATCCACTCCAATTGAAACTGCCAGTAAATGTTAATAAAGAATTTCACTATAAATATCAAATGCTGTACTGTGCGGTATTATTAAAGGAAAATTGTCATGACATAATATATTAGGAGGAAACGGGTAATAAGCATATCAATATTTTCTGAACCACGTGATTACAAATTACTCAAGAACCAAAGAACCTCAAATATTGACTTCAGAAAGCAGAAAGTAAGGTAGATGTTCTTGTTTCAAGTTATTAAATTTTATGGACTTATTTGATTATATGGATTGTTCTCAGTTCTTGGAACACTTCATTCAGATCCCACAATACGAAGGAGTGAAAGAAACTCTTCACATCGTGTGATTTTTGCATGTGATACTTATTTTAGTGTGGTACGGACCTGGACTTTTTTTATTACTCATATAATTTGTTTGGTTTTGATAATCTATTATAGATTATCTATGATACATAGAAAAAATCTCGTGCCAATTTCCGTTAAAAGACGTAATATAAATATAATTCTCGATATAATTGTTTTTATGAGTAAAAAATAAATCTCAACAAGTAAATGATAATAAATCAAGAAACTATTATTAAAGGTATTCAAAAACAAACTCCCTCTACTACTTCAAAGTCTTTCTGGTAAAACTTCTCAGCTTTAAATGGATAGAACTAAAACGAAATCCAACAGCAGTATAAAATATCAATTTGCGGTTTCTTCAAGCTCCTTTTCATTAACTATTTCTGGTCATTTCTTATAGGCATTGGCAACTTGGCCAGAGTTTAATCGATTCTGTATCCCAATGGTTACCCTCAAATTTGCTACACCCTGTACACATTTTCTTTTCCCAAAAAAAGTATCCACAGGATTATTTAGCTTACAGCTAAAGTTTAGTATGGGTTTGAGGAAAATAAAAAACTATATTTCACATTAATGAGAATGTTTTATTGTCTGATACCTATTTAGACACAATATAGAAAATATATATATATATATATAATAGATCTTTATTGAACGAATACAGTTCAAAAGGCCATTGACCGAGGTCCTTCAGCCTAATATAGAAAATATCTTTAATATCATAAAATTTCCCTGCAAAATTTATGTACATATACATTTCAAGATTTCTCATCAACTAAAAAAAAATATTAATAAAGACAAAAAACGTAAATATATATTTTAGTTTCTTTTAAAATTATTACCAATAAAGATCAATTAGATTAGACTAGCCAAATAGGTACGATAAGTTGACAAAAATATAATAATTTTCCAGATTTCATTCTAGTGCATGAAAAATGTCCAGACATTTTTGATAATCCTATTCAAGTCCAATATTTCAATAAAAGCGTTCAAGCTTATAGCCAGCGAAAGTCCCTTGTTTGAAACTTTTCTTGGCGAGAGATACATATTTTGATAGAGAATATCCCGAATGCGTGACTACAAAGCAAAATAAGCAAGATTTTCGGCACATTATTTGACAGTGAATTTTCAGAGGTTTTCATTTATATATGTTCCAAGCAGATCTAGTCACTATTCTCAAAAAAGGGTAGCAGCGTTGTAGTCAGTCTCAAGAGAATCCAGCATCTTGCTTGGAAAATTTGAAAATTAGGATTCTGATCCAGAGAAAACGGTTTTCACTCACCATTTTTTGCCATTGCTATGGCAAAACAGAGGAATTCTCATAATAATTAAGTTCTATAACTATTTATAATACTTACTTACTATCCACTCTTGATTTCTTAAAAATAAATATGGTTGAAAAATCTGAATAATTGACAATTATACAAAGTAAGATATATATTCATGGGGCATAACGCCTCTTCTAGGATAAAATGTGTGATTAACGGAATAATTTAATAAATTTGTAAGGTTTGATGTATAAATATCAGCGAATCTGAAGAGTCTTCTAGAAAAATACGTCGGATTGTGGTATGTTCTAAATACGCTACCGAATTGTTTGTTAAACACGTCTTTGATGTCATGCCTAAAAAAGAACTCATTTGAGATTCAATCTTTTTTTTTTTGTGAAGAGAACATCATTTTAGCATCTTTCAGAATACAATCTGTATATTTACCTCAGTCTGTCTCTTTCGGTCATCCACTTGGCTAATATTACTTGTTCATCTGGATCCTCACAATCTTGGTGATCTTCAATTAACTGTGTTAACATTTGTAACCAATTCGCATTTTTCTTAAACTCAGGATTATTTAGTGTTGCTATTTCATGCTAAAAAAAAAATATTCGAGAAAATGTAACTTTGAAAGCATCCTAGCATGGCAGCCATTACAATTCAAGGCCACCAAAATTGACACAATACATATAAAAAAATACAACTTTTTAATGTAAAGGGATTCTCTAAATGTTTTCGATTTTTTATCAACAAACTAATGTACTAAATTAATATTTTGTATGTTGCAGGTGTCTTCATTTCAGGTTTAATTTTCACTGATGAAGTGACCTTCCAATTGAATAACTAACACTATCATCCTAATGGCCTCATTACTTCGTCCAAGTTTAACATTCCAGCTATCTCCTCCGTTAATATGACAGCTTGTCAAAATCCTGGAAAATGTACTTGTTTTTAGGTAATAAATAATTAATCACAGTATCTAGCGACTTCCAACTTGGGGGTATAATGAGGGCTAGAAGATCTCCAAAATCACTATGGTTCTAGTCCTAAAATTTGAGAGCAGTGTTGGTGGTCCAGTGATATCATATGTATATTAAGGTCTTCTGGCTCAAATTACACCCCCCAAATTGGAAGTGGCTAGATCTCCAAATTAATCAATTAAAAACTTAAAACAAATACTTTTTGGAAGATTTTGTCAAGCTGTCATATTGCCGGGACCGATAACAGCGACTTCAAACTCAGCGGAAGTAATTATTAGGATGGAAAGAACTTTGAAATTCGCTCAAACTCTTCATTAGTTTTTTTTTAAATTTTATCCACAATGACGTCCAGCCCATTAATAATTATATGAAGTGTGTTCCAAAAATTCTAGATTCTTGGAACAAGCTACGCGCAACGTTAAATGTATCATACACACTGGAAACAATATCCCAGTCAAAATAGGAAAGTAAGACCCGAGGTACGACTAATTGTATGGAAAAATTGATATAAATGAACCATTTACGTTTGCACTGTATATTTGATATACCAACCGTTAATTCAGTAATAATAGCCCCAGTTCTCCATCCATGTTCTAAAGTGACATCTGCCAAATCACTGTAAGGATGGTCTCCAAAATATAATACTTGATGCCCTCTCCATCCAGTACATTCTTGTAGTTGTTTTACTGTTCCCTGTAATAATAATAACATTATTATTATATATAATTTCAAATAAACATTCATACTTCATAATAAATAACTCCTTTTTCAAGTTTAGTAACTCTGTCCCAAATATGAGTTCCACTACGTTCATCAAACACTCTGATCGGTCTGGATACATCAGTGAAAAATCTTGGTTTTCTAGCTTGTACAATTAGAACATCGAAGAAATCTTTCCAGTCTGGACCTACTAAATGCTCCATACCTTTGTTTCTAGAAACATTCAAGGTTTTACGAATTACTTATAGAAAAGTCATACCTATTATTCTTACTCTTACACAAAATGATACGGGCTATTTGTCACCAAAAATAATTTCTTTCCAGCTCTAACCAACTTGTCAAGAAATGGCCTCATTTTAGGGTTTGATTCAATATAATCTGCTACATTTTGGCCTACAATTTTATGCATCACTGGATGCGAATTTCTAATTGAACTCTAGAAACAAAATTATCTACAGAATCTGTATTAGCGGATTAATGAAGGAGTTGTTTAGTGCTTTTATTTTTTTTTTAATAAGCGGTACAATCTGGACACACTTTGAATTACTGTGGTATTTGTCTGTGACAGACAAATACAAATATATAGGAAATCAATTAATCTTGGAAGTGGTTATCAAATAAAATAACAAAACAAGTTTTTTTACCCCACTGAGTATCAATTGAGGTAATTTAGAAATCACACTTTATGAAATATTCCTAGAAATTGAATAATAGAAACCGCCCCACTTTCACAGCAAGAAATAATAACTACTATATCCAGAAGGCCACTTTGATAAAAATTAATATTCATAGTAAAATTTTTCATGTAATTATTAGCTTTTTAACTATCAGAAGAAATTGTTACCTACCTTAATATCCCTAAAGAGTATTTCTGGATGATAATCGATATGATTAGTTTCAAAATAATCAGCTACATTACATATAAGTCCCATTTCAGGAACTGAGAAAAGATCTGCCAGCTGAACCATCTTGGTCGAATCCTGTAATATTAACTGTAGAAAATAAAACATATGAGAAAGGTATCCAAAGCAATAAGAGATGCTAGTAGCACCTGAAAATAAGTTAGAACATAGTAAAAAACATAGAGGGTCTCCAAAAAAAAAGCGTAAGATAAAAAAAACAAACAACTTTTTTTATCATTTGATTTTTTTGAGGGCTTCAAGACTTCCATGCTTTCTCCATTCACAGAGATGATGGATTGAATAGAAACCGAAACGTCCATAAGAAAATAATGGTTTTATTTTACAATTTTTGACCATACACCCACAAACTTAACACACAATAATTAATAAACATCAAACAGCAGTAACATAAAAGTTGGATAGCACTTTATTACAAATATTTAACTTTTGTACAATTAACGTGACTGCGCAAAATTGTACTAAACGAACATTTAACAACACCCTCAATTTACTATGAATGACGTAACAACAAAATATCAGTTTTAGCACGCGTTTGAATGTAATTTGCAAATACATATATCAAAAACTTAATCGTTTTGGGAGAAAATTAAGATCTTGTGGCTTTAATTTTCTTAGATTATAAGTTTATATGAATCTACTTTCAACTTAGCTTTATGAATCGAAATTGAAAGGAAACAAAAATTAATGTAGGAGCGCAAGTAAGCAAGTGCATTTTTAATGACAAATTGCAATTATTTCAATCATATTTAATAAACTCTTTAATACTTACATTTGCATTTTTAGTATGACCCTCAACATATGCTATAGGAATAATTCTGTTCCTATATAATTTTAGGACTTCTTCTTTGGATAGAGCCTTCAATCCTTTATAAACAGTGCCAAATTGGATTTGTAAAAATGAATCAAGTTTTAACAAAACACCTTTTTCAACATCATAATGAAGGCCCCTGACTGCAAATCCTGGTTTGTATTCTAGTTTTGATATTTCTGATGGATACTTCAAAAAATAATGTTTTATGGAAATATTGATTACCTATAAATAATGAAAATAGTTACCTTATATTGTTCTATCAAAGTTTGTCTACCTAAGTTGTAAAGGAGATGTTCAAGAGAAGGTTTATAACAAGCTAGAGTATAATCATAATCAAATCCATAAACTTTAACTTCCTTTAGATCCAATTCGTTACATGCAAAGACAGCTTTTGGGTTCACATCTTGTGGTAACTTTTTAGCTGTAATTTTTTCAAATTATTGGTATTAAAAAGTTACGAATTTGACTTATTTCTAGTTTCACGAGTGACTGATCGTTTTATCTCCGAAAATATCGAGGACGAGAATGCCGGCCCTGGACACACTCACTGTGACACTCTCAACATGTGCTCTCCAATCTAACCGTTTGTTGATTTTTCTACCAAGGAAAGGCACATTATCGGTTAATTCAATTTCCACAGGGTAATGCAATATTTTTTACCCATATATATAAGTAGGTGAAGTCAAATAAGAGGGAGCTCCCCGCCAGAGGCAGAAATTTATTTCGGGTGCCACGCCCAAAAACCTTTATTTTAAGTCTTTTTTTTAGATTTTTGTTGCTTTTTTGATAGCTCCCCCGTAGAACCGCCGCTGGTTATCTTTTTATTGTTTAATGAGTTTAACACATGATAATGCCTGGTAGATAGCCCTTATGATAGATTTTTCTGTTTTGATAATAAGATAGTAGCGAGTGCCCTTCCAAAAAAATAATGAGTCTAGAGTTTATTATTGTTTCCAAGATTGCACCAACATTAGAAAGCAGTGATATCGGTCTATACTTTTGTGTCAAGCATCTTTTGCTTCTTTTTTACAGTTTTTTTAGTTTTTTGATGGTTTGGAGAACTTCCTGGGAATTGCTGGGTTGCAGATACATATTGCAATGCCCTTCCAGGTGAAGTGACATAGCCACTGTTCGATTTTATAGATTTCCAGGGATGATTTTAGAAAATATTTGTCAAGCTGCGTTACAATTTTATAGGGATCACGATGTTTTGAGATGTTTTCGGGAATTGTATTGTTCTGTCACCTGCAGAAGTTATGTTCCTGACCAGTTGCCCTGTTGCTTCGACTTCATTTTCGAAATCCATCAGAAATCTTTGACTAGATAACATTTTTTTTAAGCTTCTAGCATATGGACTGTCAGCTAATGACAGATTTTGCTGACCGATGTTCTCTTTTTAGGGATTTCAACCACTGAAAATTATGTCAGTGCTGAACTCAAAAAATGACATTTTAGAGACCGGACGTCAGTTAGGCATATGGAAAATTTATTTTCCTTTTGCAGAAAAAATGAGTTATTCTTTCAATTTCTCTTTCATGGCATTTTAACACATTAAACTCATATAACAATCTAATAGTGAAAAACCAAAGCTATAAGGTTTGCACGTACTGAAAGGGTTGAAATAAGGGTGCGATCTTTTGAAAGAATACTCTGTTGCTGATACCGCTTGCACCGGTAATAGCTTTCTTGCTTATGGCAATCGACAGAATCAAATTTGATATCTTTAGAAAAAAAAAATTCCCATAAGCCAGCAGCTAATGAGGTAAATTTTCCGGCGGCTGCAAAAGGAAAGTAAATTTTTTTATATGCCTAGCAGACGTTCGGTCACTAAATTTTAATTTTTTGAGCTCAGCACTGAAACGCCCTGACATAATTTTCAGTGGTTGAAATCCTCGAAAAGAGAAAATCGGTCAGCAAAATCCAAGGCAAAATCACAATCTGTCAGTCTAATATGTATTAAAACGATTTGAAACTAATCCCCCACTATTTTCTGTCCACAGGACTTTTTTATGCTACCCGTGAGGCAGTGCTTGCTAGTTTTCTGTGTTTTTTTAAGCTCTATACATAATGGCTAAAGCGATGGCTCGCGGTATTTATTAGAATCCTTGATTCCATAGTTTTCCAGCAAGATATACTTTGATATTATTATTAGACACTAGTTACTCGAATAAATGAATAAATGAAACTTGCAATGAAATAAAAGAAGCACATAAAAATAGGTGACGAAAAAACCTATTATGTATGTAGGTAGGTACCTACTTATATGAACAGATTGAAAATCAAATATCACACTGATGGGCATTAAATTATGGAAAATGTCTGTGGCTTCAATTAACAAACTTTCAACTGGAGTAAAAAGTGCTGTTTTCAAAACAATAGGTAAGTTCCCATACTATTCTTCAGCTATTTAGAATTTGAAATTTCGCCTCGTGTGATTCCTAACTGTAACAAAACCAAAAACGAATGTGTCACAAATGTCCATGAATCACTTGAAGGTCTTTAGAATTGGTTTACAAACAACAATCTTCAACTTAATGTGGCAAAAACACAAATTATAAACTTCAATCTAAAACCTGAAGAAATAATGATTGACTACAATGACACTACAATTGCTACAAAGGGAAATGTTACCTTTCTCGGAGTGGTGCTGGATGAGAGGCTGGACTGGCGTGCACATATTGACCAGCTCTCGGAGTCGCAAAGAATTCTCAAGCTTCAGAACAATTTATCAAAGAAAAAGTACGGAAAGTTGTAAAAATCTTTTTATTGAGAGTAGTGTGCAAACAATTTTTAATATCTAATATCTTAGAGTGCATAAAATTTGTTTCAGAAAACCCAGATATTTTTGACCAATTAAAAGCAGACCACCCCCATGATACTAGGTTTAAAGAAAACTTAAAAACAGAAACCGCTCAGTACTCATACATTGCAAAGAACGTTAAGCATAGCATTCTGAGGGTCTGGAATGCTATTCCCATTTCATTTCGAAGGCAACCGCCACAGAATATCAAAAGAGAAATTAAAACATTCCTAAACACAAAAGCTTACTACAGTCTGGATGAGTTTTTCACTGATCCACAAATTGACAACTTGCTAAAGTAAAATTTCTTAATATCAAAACACACAAGCAATCATTATCAAACTAACACAGACAAATGGCATAGATGGGGACGCGCGCTTGGTCCTTTCTGTGCAGGCTCTCGAGGGCTCAGGACAACTGGAAATTGCAAGAGCAATATTTGATTTATGTGTTCCTTATTGTATTATGTAAATTTTAAAGATTGTTGTGACTATTTATATTTTTATATTTTATATTTTGTGTTTGTATGTTTGATATTATTATTGTTATATGTAATAGTATATGTAATAATCTTTGTTATTTATGACATGATCAACACCCTAGAGGTAAAAATGTAGAAAACTTGTGATACGCAGTATACTGTGAATTGTATTTGTCTTTTTTACATGATCGAATAAAGAATCTATCTATCTATACCTCTTCGAGCTCCTCTTGCATTGTAGGTACCTACTTTATTTCTTTGATATCAAACAACCATTTTATAAAAAATCGCTTTCCTTCTTTACCTTCATTACTCTTAATTTTCCAAAGTAGGTATTTAAGTAGATATTGTCATTACCAGTTTACCACCCTGCTGAAACGTTCACCAGGCACCACATGAATCAGGTTTTTCAAAAGTTTAGGCATAACCTTGAGTATAACAATGTTGATTTAAAAGCAGGCAGTAAAATAAAATCTGTGTTGTGTTTTAACTTTTAGATATCGGCGATTGTTGTTTTGTTATAACTAAAATCAATCAATAAAAGATTCACTTTTTGAATTCCGAAAGCATCATTTATTACTAGGTACCTATATATAAATTTGGAAGCAAATTTGCAATGAAAACAATACATCGAAATCAGCAAAGCATATCCTGCATATTCATTAATAAAAAAATCGCCAATAACAATTTATCAATTGAATAAATTTGAAACAATTGCAGCAGTTATTAAAGTAAAGTGAGTAATGTATGGGAAATAGGTACCAAGGTACATACTCACATTGGCATTTGTTTTTCACTATTTTATAAGCCTCTTCTAACCGGCGCGATGAGTGGTAACGAAGCCATACTTTTTCTTTGATTTGGAACGTTTTACATAAATTAAAATCGAAGTTTAAAAGGCATTTATTACATAATTTTTTAACTAAAAACATTACAATTTTGTGTGGTTATGAGCTCTATGAATGGAAGGCACCACCTCACCGTAATATGAAATACTAATCATCACCTAGTCCCTAGAACCACATGGCCACCGCACAAACAAAAAAGAAATGAAATGGGTATGGGAACCAAGGATAAAACACACTACTACAGGATAGCCTATCATCATAAGGCCTGTGTAGAACAAATCTGAAGCCCCCCACCACGACAAATCACCAGTTGTGACGTAGGCAGCATGTCGTTTCTCACCTTGAAGTAGGCTGTTTGCACCACAGGTTAGATTCCGCTGTTAAGTTTTGTTGGTTGGGGTAATTGAGCGGATAACGGATGCGAGCTGGGTTGCATTCGAGGAACTAGGGTAGGTGTGCGGCAAGAATCGTAAACTAACCAGGAGTGCTCATGCTCATGGCGCTTTCGCCAATTCTCGAGGCGGCAGGGTCTGTGAGTGACGTTACCACTATTAGCAGCATAGCGGCTTATAACTTAGAGTGGTGACGTTACCCGCAGGCTTCGATGGGAAGCTTGCGATTCATGTTGTGTTTGTTTTTTCCTCGATTTTAAATGTAGGAAATCTTAACAAGATTTATAACATAATTAGTTTTTTTTTACCTATACTGTTTTAAACTCGGCTAATGCATTTTACGCCAAGAATTGAGGTCTGCGCCTGAAATGGCAGACAACTTTCAGCTCAATAAGCAGTCCTATTAGGTTCAGTGATTTCCATTTGTAGAATAAGTGCAAAAAAAATGTATCCCTATCCTTAAGCCTAGTCTCCATAGACGCGAAATCGCGGAAAGCGAATTTTTTAAGTGTCATTTTTTGGTAGCTATTTCCGAGCAAATTATTCCCATGTCTCCATAAGCGCGAAATTCGCGTTTTATTTAACAGGTTAAGGTTATGTGTTGTTGTTTGTAATAAATTTGAATTCGATTTAAATGCTTTGAATTTCAAACACTAATCTTTGAAAACCATGAAAGTGATTACTAAAAAACAAAAAAAGATATATGTGTCTTGGTGTTGTCTTAATTACATTTAAGGCCCTATTATAATCTTCCTCATCAACCAGCAAGCAGCAAGCTGTAATTTATGTCTGTTTTCGGGTCTACAATATTCAATTCTTTGGCAGTATCCATTCTTTATTAGGTATCTACAAGTACAAAACACATCAACGACTCACAGAGAACAGAGCACATACCGACAAAAACATAAACAAAACTAAACTGAAAGTAACACCACATAACCTCATTTTTTTTTTGGCGAAATTTCGCGGAAAGTTAAAAAATAGTTAACTTTTTTGCGACGCCGCAAGAAGTTAAAAAATTCGCGAATTTTTCCCGCCATAAAAAAATCAAATGTTAAATGTCAAATTCCAACCAATCGGAAAATATCCGCAAAAAAAAATTCGCGATTTCGCGTCCATGGAGACTAGGCTTTAAGCCTAGTACTCATAACTGCGAAATTCGCATTTTTTTGACATTACTTCGACAATTTGACGTTTGATACACGCATAAAACGTCAAGTTGTCAACGCAATGTCAAAAAAATGCGAATTTCGCAGTTATGAGTACTAGGCTTTACACTTTACGTGCTTTTGGAAAAAGATGCGGATACACTCAGTGCGCACTAATTGACAAATGGAATTCGCCATAAGTCTTGCGTGTGCGGTTAAAATTCACACTGCACCGTTCGAAAAGATGGTTGTCGCCAGCTGTTGGTTCGCGCACCGAACACTCCAGTTCCGGCTAGAGTGAAATATACCCGGTACAGAGTAACATTAGGGCCTGTTCGGGTTTGAAACAAGGACGGTTCTAGAACGGTTTTAACAAAGCGAATGTTAATAGAGAGATATCGGTAAAACAGATAGCGCGTATGGACGGTAATAACGTCAGGAGTTATTTTTTTTAAAGTAAAGCGGTATCATACTTTCAAATTAGAGTTATCGGAAAACAGTTTAACGTAAAATTTGCCTGTTAGCATCCGTTATTTTAGAACCGTAGCCTAACTTGTACCTTGTTTTGATTTGATTTGTGTTGTCTGTTGAAAATGGCCAGGGACAGATGATTTGCTTTTTTACTATTTTTTAAACAATCCATATTCACTCGAACACAACAAAAATAATAAAATAAACAATAAACATAACATAACCTATTATTCCACGGCGTTATTTTTAGACGTTATTCGAAATAGCGCTTAACGTAAATGCTTGATAAATTACGTTATGCGGTAACGTTATTTCAGTACGTAGTGTTAAAAATCGAATCGCGCATAGGTTTAATGTCAAAACAACGTAGGCGCTAATACTGCATGACACTATTTGGGTTACCGATATCTCTCTAATATAAAATAATTTCACAAAAATATGGAAGAACGAGGAAGAACCACCAATTCATAAAGAAAGCAAACTGCCCGTTCTTAAACATGAGGCAATTTTTTCGCGAGGATAATCAAGCATAATCTTTTGCTGGATTATGTGATGTGTCAATTGTGTCATACTCCCCTTACTCCCCCGCCATCAAATTCTGGGTTACTCGAGGATCATAAAATAAGCTGCTGATAGTGACGTCACTCGCAGGCCTAAAATTTGATGGGGAGGGAGTTAGGGGAGTATGACACAATTGACACATCACATAACCCAGCATAATCAGATTATGCTTGATTATCCTTGCGAAAAATTGTCTATAGAGCGAGATTGAAATTGTTTTCTCGCGTTCACTTTTTGGAACTGATTGAAAACAGGTTTGAAACAGTATATTCTCGCGATGAACCCATGACGTCACATCAAAATTGGTTCAAACCATTTCGAAATACAATCCAATCCACGTTGTGAAATTGACGCATGCGTTCTATTCATCAATCGAGTGAAATGCAAATGAAAAGTGAGGTTAGGATTAAAGGCATTTTTTTGCGTCAAAGCGTTTTGAAACAGTTTCAAAACACTCCGTTTTCTTGAGTCGTTGATGACGTCACATGGCGCGACGGTTATGAATACTTGAAACACATTACCAAAAGCTACAGCTACAAGCTACTTTTTTTTCAAAGTAGCTTGAATAAGTTATTAGCTACCAAAAAAGTAGCTAAGCTAGTAGCTTAACTACTTGGTAGCTAGCTACTGCCCAGCTCTGACCTTATATATATAAACAAATCCTCTGTTATAAAAACAATCAAATTTATTCTCGAGAAATTGAGAAATCAATCAATTTTTTTTCTCCATTTGATAGCTCATAGTTTCCTGAATTTAAATGTATTTCTGTTTTTGTTAATTTATGCATGGTAATTTCTGTGGAAGCCGTTTTATAGCGCGCGGTCGATTTTGCACATGCAGAAAAGGGAACGCGGACCTTTTTCGGCATATTCAAAATTCAGGGCCGCCGAGAGCCGGGTCGGGCCCCGGTAAAAAAAAATAATAACGGGCCCTTTTTTTTTTTTTTTTTGATCTCCCAAATATAAAAGTAACGGGCTGCCTTCCCAGGTCTTACGGTCCCCGGGAATTTGTCCCGTCTATCCCCCCCTCTTGTCGGGCCTGAAAATGGGGCGACTGCGCGCTATAAAACGGCTTTTACAGAATATATATATATATATATATATATGTCGTTTTAGAACGTCTTTCTTCGTTGTCCGACACCTAATTTCCATCCTCTTCTATCGTCGCAATCCTCTGATGGACTTTTGTACGGTCTTCTGCCATTAAAGTTTTGGTCTTCCCTGTTGGTTGCCAATGCAGCATTTTTCTGGGCCACCTGTCATTTGGCATTCGTTCTAGGTGTCCGTACCAGGTAAGTTGTTTCTTTTCAATGTCCTGAACTATCGTGCCTTCTATGCCCATTTGTTCTTTTATATTGTCGTTCCTTATTCTGTCTCTTCGTGAGATTCGCATGGATCTTCTAATAGCATTCATTTCAACTGCTTCCACTTTTTTCTTTTGTCTGTAATTCTCCAGGTCTCGGCTCCATATAGCAGGCTGCTCTTTATTATTGTCTCGTATATATTGAATTTTCTCTTCTTTGTTATTTCGTTGCTCCATAATATTCCATTTAGGCATCCTATTACTTTTTTAGCTTTAACTATTCGCTTTTCTATTTCTTTCACGTCTGTTCCGGTGTTGTCGCATGTGATACCTAGATCCTCATGTTCTTGACATTGCAGACCATCGTCCACTTCCAAGTTTCCATTCTGCGTGCCTACACATAGATATTTTGTTTTATTTATATTAACTCTCAGGCCCCATTCTTGATACTCTTCTATCAGCTTTCTTATCATATATTGCATGTCCTCTTTGTCACTGGCCACTATGACCTGATCATCTGCAAACTGAAGAGTAAACAGGCACCTATCATTTATCTCTATACAATTCTCTATACCAATTCCATGGATCTTCCTCTTCCAATTTTTCAGTGCTACTGCTACGTATATTTTAAAAAGCGTAGGAGAGATACAACATCCTTGGCGAAGTCCTTTATTTACTATAAATATATCTGTGAGTTTTTTACCTATCTGAATTCTTGATTTTGAGTTTTTAAACAGTTCTTTAAGTGCCGTTATGTAGGTGTGATTGATGTTTGTGTGTTCTAATACCTTCCATAGTCTGGATACTGGGACTGTATCGTATGCTGTTTGTAGGTCCACAAATGTGAGGTGGGTCTCCAAATATCTAGCAGATATCTTTTCTATGACTTGTTTTAGGCAAAATAGGTTGTCCGTACCTGATCTTCCTGCTCTAAAGCCGCGCTGCTCTTCTTCTTCTTGCTCTTTATAATCTTCTTCAATGAGATCAGGCAGGATTCTACCGTATAGTCTGCTTAGTGTGCTTGTGACTGATATCCCCGATAGTTATTGCATTCCAGCTTATTTCCTTTTTTGTGAATGGATGATATAAAAGCCGTTTTCCAGTCTTGTGGAACAGGATGCCCATTTAGGCATTTATTGATTATACATGTGAGACCTTTAAAGAGCTTCTCAGTTCCCCCTTTTTAGCATTTCTGAGTATATCCCTTCTGGGCCGCTAGCTTTACCTGACTTAAGATTCTTAACAGCCTTTTTTACTGTTTCTTCAGATATCTCAACTACTTCTCCATGTACTTCAATATGTCTTGGAGAATCTAATATATATTCCGATCTACTTTCTTGTAACAGACCCTTGTAATGTTCTATCCATTGCTCTGGTTTAATAATCTGGATATTAGCTCTGTCCTTTCCTGGGTTTTTGACATTTGATATAAATCTCCATATACCTCTGAGCATTTCCTTCCTCCTATGTAGGTGTTAATTTCTTCACATCTACAGAAATTACCATGCATAAATAACAAAAACAAAAATACATTTTAATGCAGGAAGCTATATGAGCTATCAAATGGAGAAAAACAATTAATCTGAGCCTTATAGTTTTTTGTAAAAAAAATCCTTTCTAAACTTAGCAAGTTTTGCCGAATTTTACAAAAAAGTTGAACTTCAATAATTTGTAAAACCGTTAATTTTAAAGTTATCGGAGCGCTTAAAAAACGCACTTATGGCAGATTTATTCAAGATTTAGATAGTTTTTGAATGATTGGAATTGGATAATCACCCGCTCTTTATCTGACGCACGAAATGTAAAATGGAGCGGCGAGGCCAATTTCAAGGTCACACCCCTTAGTTTGGGTTAGCGGAATGGGGCACAGGCCCACCTGGGTTAGGCCCCTTCAATTTGGGGCTTCTCTGATGACGGGCGCGGGCCCCAGAACGAGAATGGGGCCACTTCCGGTCTAGAAACCGCTTTGTTCATCTACTACGCGCTCTAGGGCGTTAACTATAAAAGATAGAATAAGACTGTCACCATAACCTGAAGAATTTAATTTTTTTTTTTTTTTTCAATTTCGTTAAGCCGTATTAGCAGCGTTCTACCAAGGAGAATACACACTCTAAGGACTGCTTATCGGTCTCGTTTTTGGTAATCGCGGCCATATTGGTTTTCAACCATTGCCGACGTCATAACAGGTCGTCAGCTGTTTAAATGGCCTACGTCAGGGCGAGAAACGCCATGCTGCTTACGTCACAACTGGTGGTTTGACTTGGGAGGTTAGGGGGGGATATGTTACACACAGGCCTTATGAGGATAGGCCATCCTGCAGTAGTAGGTGTAGCATCCTTGGCGTTCTACCACAACTGCCATTTTTTCAAATAACCGCCCCCATTCAGCGAGCTCACCCCCTAAACTGGTCCAAAATGGGATTCCGACTCACTATGTCCATCTGAACAAACGGTCAAGATTTAAAAACTATACTATTTTTTTCTCGCAAAAAATACTCATTGCCTGGACAAAGTAGAAAAGTTGGTATCGTTAGTGAAGTGAGTTTTTAGTGGACCCGCGGAATCCGTGATAATAATTTATTAGAATATGGAATAACATTTTCGTTTTGTTGAATAACTGGAAAAATAATACAATTTTCACTCCGAACTTTGGTAAATACGAAGGTCAGGGTATTATCTAAACAGGACGCGCACTGAATCGACTTGGACCGGTCGACTCGGCGAAGAGCATTCGGTAGTTTTTGATACTCATGCAATTAAATGAGACTCGAGTCGACCACGTCGAGTCGACTAGTCCGATGCCGTGCGCGGAGTCTCATTTAATTGCATGAGTATCAAAAACTACCGAATGCTCTTCGCCGAGTCGACCGGTCCGAGTCGATTCAGTGCGCGTCCTGCTTAAGTAGCTTATATTCAGTTTTGATTATAAAAATACCGTTCCAGTTCAGAAAATAAACTGTCAAATAAGTTATTTTTATGTGCTGAAAAAAAGTGGAGGGTTATATGGAATAGGTATATGGGATAGAGTAAATAATGAAAAGAAAAAAACGAAAATACGTTTAATTCTTAATAACGAGTAATTTAACAAAAAAAAAAACAAACAAATACCTAACTTATCTAACTAGTGACAAAAATCGCAAACGTAAACATCTCTTGCACCATATGTGCAAGCTTCATGGGCCCATCCGCCGTAAATGATATCCCATAACACCCGAAACACCCCCTGGAGAAGAAAATACATGCCGAAAAGATGTTTTTGAAAACAATGTACTAACAACTTAAAAGAGTAACTGAACATTAGGATAGACTTTCCTGCTAGAATGAGCGATAATTTTGTACAAATACAACCACTACCTACCTACATAAATTTAAAAATCTCTATTGCAAAACTTGATGAACACGTTAAATATCGTTTGACGTTTTGCGAACTAAAAAAAGGCAACTGTTGAAACCTGATGAGGTTAATAATAGTTTAGGGTGGGAATAATGTCAGATTAGGTATAAAAATGCAGATGTCACCACCCACAAAAAAATTAGCAGCTATTCCATATTACCCGGACTATTCTATATTACCCGAAATTACTCCAAGTATTATAAAGGAACTAGGTAGAAAAATCACGGATCATGGAATAAAATAAACATTGCAGAAGAGGTACCTCTAATAAATAAAAAAACAATGAAAATCAGAATGGGTATATTTTTACCACCCCAGACATTAATATAGGGATCGAGATTCACGCTAGAGTTAATTTATCATCAAGTGTACCTAACGTAATGTAATGTCAATCCACCATTACCACTTTCTTGAATTTTCCGATTAGATGTCAAAATCGATTTTAAGGTACCTACTCGGATATACAGAGACAATTCCCGAGTGCTTGAGATAAATGGATTTGTCGTACAAAATATGGATTACTAGCTGAGCGGTCACAAGAGTCAGTGGACCATCAAAATTTTAAATGACGTAATTTCTTTTTCAACTTTAACCTTAAACGAATACATCCCTCACTCAATTTAGATCCTGATTGAAAACCTATTTGTCCGAGTTTCATTAATTTGTCACAGATTGTAACAGGAGGAATTATGCAAAGATTTGCGAAGCCATGGGGGGGTTGTTGTTTCCAGAATGCCCACCTAGAGATTTTGGATTCCAGCGGAAGGGTATAAAAGCAAAACTGGCCTTTGAATATTTCCAGTATCACATCCAGACTCTGAAAATGGACAGGTTTCATTTAAAATGTATTTGTGTAGTTTTCATTGTGCTGGCTGTATTATTTCAAAAGGTGTCAACTAACAGTGTAAGTAATATAGTAGGAAATCATTTTTATGCTAATGAGTTTATATTGATGTTCACCTATTTTGAGGAAAGTTTATCTAGACAAAGTTTAGGAATTAAATTGGTATCACACTAAGTATTCGTTCACTCCATTTAGGCTACGAAGATCCCTAAAAGCACAAAATCTTTTAAAAAAACACCTCAAAAGCGTACGCAATTGGCGTCCCGATCTACTAGACGTTTATCCATAGACCTATTGACGTCATCCCTATAGGTAGTCGTTGGAAACGGACGTTTTGAAAGCTTCCCTTTTATGAACAAAACTTCTTTGGACGAAATGTCTTTTTTGTTTTTAAAACTCACACCAGTGATTTTGAAAACGACTCGCAAAAACCTTCAAGAAACGTAATTCAATGACTTTTTATCAATTACGGTGCTAAGCAAAATGTCTTCAACGGTGATTTTAAGAACGACTTACTGAAACGTGTGAAAAAAGTCCCTTCAAACATAGGTACTTTTAAACAGAACGTCTTTCTAGCGTTTTTAACTAGTTTTAAGAACGCCTTCCTTGAACATTTAAAAAATGTTCTTCCAATGACTTATTATGGAAACATACATTGAGGCCCTAGAAAACGATCTCAAAATGGCTTTTCAAAAAATAATTCGATATAGACATGTTGTGTTAAAGAACCGCACATTAAACGGTCATTTTGTTTAAAAGCTTCCCACATGAATCTGATACCTCATACTGGTCTAAATTTCAATAATTTTTGTGTTTTAGGTCGATAATCCCATGGATAACAATCCAAATCAAAACCAAGAAAAATATTTACCTTTGATCTTTCGTACAAAAATTAAAGGCAGGAGGATCTCGGAAAAACTAGCTGATAGAAACAAATTATCGGAATATTTATTAGAGGCTTTAGATGAATATCCATGGAGAGTAATTGCTGTTAATAATAATGCAGGTGCGAATACAAATACGAACAAGTAAATTAGAAAGGACAATGTATGAGCTACTAGAGCTTAGCTTAAGTTTGCTCAAGTGTAGCAATATTTATTTGAGTGGGTAACCACTACCTAAGGAAGTTTTCCATCCCTCGAATCCAAGAAAAGACAAATCTTTGGATATTTGTAGGTACAGGATGATCCATTTAACTCGAGACAGTCTAATATCTCGAAAACGACGCGTTTTTGAGAAAAAAAAGTTGATACAGTCAAAAACCATTGCTATCATTCTGTTTCCCCCGTGACACCATATAAATTTTATTCGAACTTTTTTATTCAAAAATGCGCCGTTTTCGAGATATTGGACTGTGAAGTTTTGATGGAACACCCCGTATAATCCCAAAAACGCGTCAACAAATTGTGAAGAAGGCAAACTTTGACGCGAGTCTAATAAGTATTACCTATGTTAGAGAACATTTTGTTTAAGTTGTTGTTTTTGTTATGTAAGCATTTCATTTATAATTTTCATTACCGATAAAAAAAAAGTATAAAATTTCGAAATTTTCTAAACTTTAAAATAGGGTTGAAAGATTAATTTTGCGTGGGACCTAAAAATGTTCCGCCTCCCTATTATATTTTAGAGATTTTAATCGATTCGATTTTCAATCTTATTCCTAATTCCGAGATAATGAAGCTTTTATCTACTTTGAATGAGGAATTTACATAGGTACCTACCTACTTGAAATAATGAAATTTATGCCCAATACATGGTTGCTTATTTTCTCTTATGGGTACTTACTTAGTAGGAACTGGTAACTTATTACCATTTATGTACATTTTCATCGTTTTGTTGTTTTAGGTTTAGAAAAAAGAGGCAACACACACAACTTTACTCCAAGGCTAGGTCGTACTTTAGATGAAAGTTCTACTGATGATCTTTCAGACATAACCGAAAGAAATACCGCATTTTCTCCAAGGCTTGGAAGAGCTCAACGTTATAATTTTTTTCCGACACGGTTGGGAAAAGATGAATCCACAAATTACCACTAAAATTTAAATTTTTTGAAGAACTAAGTATCATTGTTTATGTTTAGTAGGTATACTTACAGTTCATGACTGTTAGAATAAAAGTGTTTGGCATCAATGTGAGTGTTTTAATTTCAAAATGTATTGTGGTCTAAATAAAGTTCACAAATCTTGAGGCGAAGGTGCATGCGAGACCAGATTTCAAAATTCGCAAAGGCGGAGACAATATGTTTCTGAAAGTTTCTATAATAATACTACCTAATAAATAACCTAAACAATGTAAGCTACCATAACAAATGTAAGGCAACAATTATTAATTCTGCCCATTAAAAAGTATTATGTTTTAAAATCGAGCTAATAATAAGTTAGGTACCCTTAGATACTTCTTGCTTGTGGCATGACTACCAATACTTGGAATTAAACAACACTGTTTGCGAAAATATCAAGTAGGTACCGAGGTTTCGAATATCTACTACTTGATTGACCATTTTTCAATTTATATTCAATGTTTCTGTGTTCAAATTAACGTTAGTTCTAATAAGATCAATGAGGGTCAGCAAGTAGGTCAATCGTACACTTTTTGGAAATTCTGGCTATGTAATTTGAAAACATCACCAACAAGGTAGGTACGATGACTTCTGACACTCGATGGGATTTGCTGGTTTTTCAGATGTGCCTTCACACAATCGTGGCCAGCATTCAATAGTATTTATTCGAAGGTTAAGAGAAAAATAGTGTTTAATTGTATCTACCTCTACAGTCCACAGATACAAAATAGAGGGTTTCTAGAACATCTTCAATAGAAACTCATTCACTATATCAGCAACTAATACTACCTCTAGTTCTATTTATGGTGGTCTCTCCAAAACCATTTATCAAATCTCAGCTGTTTTTACTAGCGATGCATTTCCCATCATCGTCTGGCGTCACTGACTTCTTAGAAAGCTTCTCGAAATGCACCACTGATCTTGCCGCGATGGTCGTTAAGGGTTTCACAAGTCTTTTCCATGAAGAATACCCGTTATTGGGGAATAAGTAATCGTCAGCGCTTGTCTTCTACGCGGGGCCAGGTGGCGTTTTCCTGATGTATGGAGCCAGCTTCTTCCGCCGCATCGTCTCCTTCTGATCAGGAACGTCACCCACAGTTTCTTTTTGTTCGCGGTTGCAACACTTGATTAGCTTTTAAAAAATATGTGCCTCTGCTTTTTTCGTATATATCCTCACTTCCCTGACTTTGCCTATTCGATTTAAAGAGGAATTTTTGGCAGCTTCATATGCCTATATGCAAACTCAACGCGCTATTGCTGCATTTATTCGTTCTTAAAATTGAACGAATAAATGCAGCAATAGCTCGCGCTATGAATATCTTCAACGTCTCCGATGGGCCTTGGACGCTGCTTTCCAGTTGCTCTGCCACAGTTGACTAAGATACCTGTTTCCGTCGGAAGTTGGTGGCTTGAGTTGAACGCGTACAAGAGAGCTCACCGACACATCCTAGAGTTTCAATTTCTTGTTGAATATTCTGGATCAATTCGGTGATCCTGCTTAATATATTTCTGTTTTCATGGATCACAACTTGCCAAATATAGTTTTATTAACGGAACATTGGTTGAGGCAGGATGAACTGTTTCAAATGTCGGATTATCTGGTTATGTCAAGGTTTTGTAGAACTCAGTCTATAGATGGCGGCTGTATGATTTTAATTAATTAAATGTTCTTAAAACAGAACTCTTTTCAATCGATAGCGAAATTTAATTACTTATTGCAGATTGCGTTTGAGTTTGTCATAGTTTTATCCAAGTCTCGAAATTTATACATAATCTGTGTCTATCGCTCACCCTCATGTGATAGTGATGTGTTTCTTACAGGGCTAGATGAAATCCTATCTAATACCTGAATCTGTGCCTGTATAATTCTAGCTGGAGATCTTAACATAATCGAACTTCGATGAAAGGAGTTCTACCCTGACAATGCGCTTGAGTCATTTACTTGACTCTCATAACTTACAAATGCATGTTAAATCACCGACGCGTATTACTCGATATTCATCCAGAATCTTTAGCACCATTGACTCCATGTGTTCTAACTTTTGTAGCGAGCTCATTAGTTCTACGGTCGAAAATGCAGCATTATCCGATCATGACGCAATTCTTTTCAATGTTTTAGAATCTAAGAAATAGGTTAAATCTTCAATACGCAAGTGGCCGAATTTTTAGCAGCAAAAACTATAAGAGAGTCTACAATTTGTGCGCCTCTATATGCTGGGAATCTACACTCGAAAGAAAGGATCCAATATTCACTTTCCATACCAAAATAGTGGGCCTGCTTAACACAACTTTTTCTGTCATGAAAATTAAACCCAAAAAACAGACCAAAAAGACCTGGTTTACTAAGGGTCTAACTGGTTTCTTTGAAAAATCTTCGCTCTCTCCATATGATTAGAAAACACACATCATTTCCAGGCTTCAATGAATATTTTACTTAACATCTCTCCCATGTTCCGTCGCTTGATAAAACTGTCCAAAGAGCACTATTATTCCAATCGCCTGAGCAGCTGCAAGAATTCGCAAAAGGAATGCTGGAATAAAGCTCGATGGCTGGAATATTGTTAACGATATACGTCAAAAAAAACAATCATCGCTCTCTGACTGCTTGTCAAATATAAATATTCCGAATTCATTTTTATTCTTCCCAACTGATCTAGCAGAAATGAGAAGCACCCTACGATCAATAAAAAATAGAAACAGTTCAGAAGAGGACGGCCTTTCCGCAAAAATTTTTCTCAACTTGCCTGAGCTTGTATTGCTGCTTCTGGTGAGGGCAGTTAATAGGTCATGAAGGACTGGAATTTTTTTTTTTTCACGTTTAAGAATAGCGCCGATCCATAAGGAGGGAAATCTGGATGATCCTTCAAACTTTCGGCCAATCTCAGTCTTGTCTACCATGTCCAAGATTATTGAGAAACTTGTAATGACACGTATGCTTTCCTTCATCGATGCTAATGAGATCATCAGCAGGTGCCAGTTTGGCTTTCGTGAGGACACCAGTACAAATGATGCTGTATACGATCTAATGCAGGATTTGTACTCTCATATTAATGAAGGTGGACTTTCGGCGGCAGTTTTCTGTGACCTATCGAAGGCTTTTGACTGTGTTAGTCCCGAAATTCTGCTGCGGAAACTTCACCACTACGTCTTTAGAGGAGTTTACTCACGCTGGTTTTCATCGTACCTGATTGGTCGACGACAACGTGTCTTTATAGGATCTGAGTGCTCCAACTACCAGTCAATCGAATGGGGAGTGCCACAGGGTTCGGTTCTGGGTCCGGTCCTATTTTTGATGTACATTATTGATCTTGCTGATCTCTAGATTCGTGGAAAATTCGCCATATTCGCCGATGATACCACAATAATGTGGCAGGCTCCGGACCCCGTTTCCCTATGTAATCATTTTAGAGGATCTCCAGACTGTGTAGACTTGGTGAGACTCTAACCTATTAACATTGAATCCCACAAAGGCAAGCTGGTATGTTTTAAGTGTACTCTTGCAGATATTTTTATAGATAGCACTCCAGTTGAGATCAAACCTGACAGCAGATTTCTTGGAATTCTCATAGACGGAGAGCTCAAGTTCCACACACATATAAATATTCTTGCCAATAAGCTATCATTTGGTTGTTTCATAATCCTCCAGAATAATTGTCCAGAAAATTTTCTCCTGAGAATTGCGAATAAACGACAATCTGTAATTCACCTAGATTATTCCGTCAATGTTGAAATCGAAGATTTTAGTTAGGGGATGATTAATAATCGCGAGAAGAATTTAAGTGGGGTAGGTACCCCCATGCGGTATTGGAAGGGTCAACGATGGGTACCCCCATGTGGCGTTGCCATATTGTAAACAATTTCCCCAACTCAGTCAAAACGTCGATGTCACTCTGTATGATTATTAAAAATTATTTACCTATCCCATCACATTCCTACAGCTGGAAAATATTGGACCTACTATTCTCTATACTATTGATTAATCACCTATAAGTATATACCACCTACTTTTTACATATTATACTTCTGTAGTTGGATGGGAACAAAAGGGTTGTTTTATGCCGGCCCTGATTTTTTGGTCTCATTATCTAGAGTATTTCTTCAGATCAACATCCTTTGGTATAACTTGTTGCAAATTGGTTCCTCCGGTTCTCCGACAGGATTTAGGAGGGGATATCCAACTTAAGCAAGTGGCAAAACTTCATATTATAAAAGTAGCAGTACCTATCGGCAGTACCGCGTGTGTCATACTGCAATACTTTTTAATTAATGAAGCATGGAAGCTGTGATACGCGTTTGTTTGTGTTTGTTATTACATTTTGTCGTTTCGTACTGCTACGAAGATGCAATTGTTATTGATGCAGCAGGTATAATTAAATATTTAACAAATTTGTTTCAAAAAATATATCTAATATTCAAGAAAAAATGATCTACCAATGCTGCACGAGAAGAATTTTTTTTTAAAATTTTCAGTTAGCCAAAGAAAAATTGAATAAGTACTTTTTCTCTTGCAACGGTTAATTTAGGACATGTTTTTTACCTACCATTATTTCATAAAAGTATCCTTCGTGGCGACTGAACTTTTTTTTAGAAGTGAACTGTTCTCTATCTTAGGGCATAGAAAAATAAGTGAAGAAGAATAAAATAAATAAATAATTGTCCGATCCAAACTAAAAATGATCTAAATGAAAGCGATTAAATAACAAAAATAAAAATTAATTAATTTCTAATCATGTCCTCGATAAGTATCAGCACAATCAAATTTTATTTATTGGACTCGATTTTTTCATCCACCGCGCTACGATAACGAAGTTTAACATTATTTCTTCAGAAGGTGAACGTTCGCTGCGACCTTGGCAGTGATTCACTTAGGTAGCAATGCTATTTGCCAATGCCAATAAAGGACACCCAACAAGAAAATCAACAATTAATTAAACAATATTTTCACAAGTTTCAAAAATGAACATAAAGTTTTGTAACGCATTTTGACAAACCTTCGGCAATCATATTAGAGAAATGAAATAAACCACTGCTCTAGATTGAGGATGAAATTTAAAATCTTGGAAGTGTGTTATGATGTTCCTGAATGACACATAAGTATGGCAGTATTGGTAAATCTTATTGTATCATAGAGTGTGAAGGTATAATTTTTTTTGCTATTTGCCAGTTACACAGATATGGACACTAGCCAATTTTCAAATACCTATAACATTTTATATTATTATATAAGCTTTCTTAGTTCTTCTACGATTTTCTTGAATTTCAGCTATGATATACTCATCTTTTTTGCCATTGATTGGTGAAGTCCTAATTTGAAAAGTAATAAAATAAAAAACTAAAATTGATAACTATGGAATTTACTTGAACTTGAAAATTTATATGGGGTGAAAAATAAATATTCAAGATCACGAAACTTGGCACTGTGGTTCAAGAAGGTTCGTAAAACCGATTCGTGAAAATACCGAGTCTGCCCTTCACTCCTAAAAAGGGGTTCTCGAGTAAACGGGCCCTAGGAAATATACGTTTTTCAAACAAAAAAGTCTTATACCTCAAGAATGGTAAAAATGAAGGGATTTGTGACGAATCCCCAATCCTGGGTAAGGTAATCCACATCAAAAACTATTCCAACGAAACTGCAGTTTTTAGCATGGGTCGAATCAAATCTTTATTTACGCATATAGCATTTACAGTAGGTATTGAAAAAATAAAATATCTTTAAACAATAAATGTCAAGAAAATATCAAAATCAAGAGTAACAATGAGAGCAATAATGGCAATAAAACTATAGCTAAAAATTACAGTTACATACATACATAAAAAGACACTTCAACAATCTTAACAGTTTTTCATTTGACCAATAGATTTTTTTAATTTTTTTTTATAAAAACTATTAGGACAAGTAATAAAACAAAAAAATGTCACATTTCTGTTCGGTTTATCCCATAGTTTGTTTGATGGAAATCAATTTTAAATATGTAGTTGCTTATTTCTAGAGTTTCTTGCTGGAACATGCAGGCCAACAATTTCAAAAAGCTCCGGAGCATCTATCATATTGTCAACAAGCTTATAAAGAATGCCTGTGTAATTTCTCCCATTTTCCAGAGATGTTAAATTTAATAGAGAAAGTAACCCCTGGCAGTCGATTTCATCATATGGGATTCCAAGTTTAAGACCGATTCATTTTAGAAATTTCATCTGCACTTTAAGCTGCCTTTGTTTGTTTTATAATAGGGTTGCCAAATTGGGCTAGCATATTCCAGCATGGATCTAAGGGCACAAAACAAATGGTTTAGGATAAAAATATTATCAATAGAATTTATATTTCAAAATATTACTTTTGCACTTCATGATTTTGATCTGATAAACTGATGTAAAAAAGTGTCAAACTGGAGGGATGCATTTAGTGGGGTCAAAAATTGAAAACTCAAACATTTCTAAAACGGTGAAAATTTCGGAGGTTTTGAGTAAAGTTTAATATTAGATCGCTTGAGAGCAGCAGGCCTCGAGCCAGGGAGTGAAACTTCCCGAGAGAACAAAATTTTCGTCTTTATCATTCTCGTTTACTTTTCGATTACGTTGACAAGGACAAAACATTCGTTCTATCGGGAAGCTCTACTCCCTGGCCCGAGGATCGGCCACCAGATTGGATTCATGCATCTAGAGACTGGAGAAAGTGTCAAAATTGGGAGTTGAGGGTGGTGAAAAGGGTTCTTTCATTTTTGATAAATCGAACTAGTGATAAAAAAAAAAAACTGAAATTCCATCAAAAATTCATTTTTGTTGAAGCATCTGGAAAAAGAACAAACATTCACACAACACTCAATCTTGTGAAAATCCCGAGGAATAACCTTTAAGTAGTTATTAACAGTTTCCATAGTTGTATCCGAAATGAAATGTAAACATTTTCAACAGTGCAGGGAGACAAAGTAAAAAAGAGGTGTACAAGCAGGAAAAATTACCTGTTCATTTATACGTGGCCTGAAAGATTCCTAAGAAAAGAAAATTACTATAGATCCAAATCATCACCGGGAACATTTAATTAAAGAATAAGAAAAATAAATATTCACTTATACTTAATATTTATACCATAAAAGTTGAAAGTGATGTACTTATGACGAATAATACCTTCCTATCTACACCCACATTCTGTTGGGATAAAGCAGACTCACTATTAAAAAGATTTTGCATATTTCTTTTGTGTTCAGCAGTATTGGTATGATATATTTCATGTGTCCGTAAAAAAAACTTATAAATATGTTAATAAATTTCGAGTCATTAAACTGAGGCACTCTTAAGACGGTGCTTATAACGGTTATCTTTTGAAAAATGCCTACCCATATGTAAATTCGCTTGAGATTATAAACCCAAACATGTTTTTCTTTCATTACGATTTTATGTCACCGCAGTTAATTGGCGCATTTGTTAACAACAGTTCCACGAAGGAGCAGATTTTTATCACCTTTCGAACAGAATTTTTTCATTTTGCTTTGTGTGCTTCGAAAATTAATTAATTTTAATGTAAAATAATCATATTCAATATTCAATCATTGTCATATGATCTGATACGGATTTTTTCAACATTAATCACCAGAACAATTCGTGATAAACATTTGACCGTGAACTTTTCTTTAAATTTGTTGTAGAAGATTCGTCGAACAGAAACACAAAATTCAATAGAGATGCAAAACAAATGATTTTCCCACCAGCTTATGGATACCCCATAAACTTCTTACCAGCAATACCACAACTACCCCATAGCTTACAAGCTAGCCCTTCACTTATCGCTACCACCGGCCCTTGCTACAATAGCAAAGGAGAATTAGGTAGCTGTATACCATTTAGGCAATGTTATCCTTATTTTAAAGTAACCCAAGTAGGTAACTTTGATACATGGGTACTAGGAATGTATGATACTTGTAGTTATTATACTGCACAGGGTCGCCAGGTAATTAATTTAAACAAAATATTTTTAAATTATTTATTTCTTTGTTTCCATAATTTATTTTAGGTGTTTGGAGTATGTTGTGCCAACATACCAAAACCAATCGATGTAACGTCTCCGTCAACTAATACCGAAATTCCCATAGAAGATAGTGACGTAACAAATTCTACCCCTCCATTAACCAACAGTAATGGTGCCAAAGTTCCAAACTGGCCTCCACCAATACCAACTCATCCGCCAGACCACACAATCCCACCTCTGCCGACTCACCCTCCAAGTCCAGGTTATCCTACAACGTCTAAAGCCCCTGCTGTGATGTTAACCTCAAAAATAACAACGGTTAAACCTGTCTATAAGCCCCCGTCAGTAGTAGCCACAACGAAACCAACCACCAAAAAGCCATCGTACGAGTTTGGAGCTGCGTGTGGTGCTAAAAATGGTTTCCAAGATCAAGGCAAAATTGTGGGTGGTCATAATGCTGAAGTTAACGAGTGGCCATGGATTGCGGCATTGTTCAATAGCGGAAGACAGTTTTGCGGTGGTTCTCTGATTGATAATATTCATATTTTGTCTGCCGCGCATTGTGTTGCTCAGTAAGTACTTACCTTTACTACTGATACTTATAATAAGGAGTACCTACCTAAGTAGATAATGTGTGAAAAAATACTTACTTGTATCAGAATATTACCATAAAATTTCACTTAATATAGGTACCACCATTTTAGAGCTTTAATAGTTTAGTCTATTTTGAATTTTTGAGATGATGTTGTAGCTATCCATTGACATACCTAATTTGGCCCAGTTTCAGAAAATGTAGTTAGCTACTATTCAGAAGAAAACTACTGGTTAAAGCCTTTCACAATCAAGGGTTCAACCTGACACCTATAGTTAACCAGTCAGTAGTTAAATTGAACCAAAGATCCGTATGAGTTAATTGAAAGCAAATTTTGTTGTTATAATTATATTCTGTATATGTTTTTATAATTACTTGTGCTTAGTTTAAAATGGATGATTACGACTATTACGAGATAAGTACGTATAGTAGCTAAGAAGAAGCAAGTACCTAGACGTAGAGGGCCAATATTTCCAGGAATATCATGACCATGGCCATGTCTCCTTTGTGAATTAAGATTGAAGTGAAGCCTAGAAGCATTGAAAATCTTCTAAACAGTTCTGGAAAGGATCAATCACCACCTCATTGGACATCATGTTCAGTTAAAGAATAATAAGTCAGCTGGTACTAACGGCATTCCTGCTGAATTCCTTAAACAAGGAGACCCTACACTAAGTGTCCAAACTGCCCCAAACCCACATCCTATAAGTGAAATATGGATTACTGAGATCATACCTGACGAACCTAGAGATGTCTCTTTAGTTGCCTTTTTTAAAAACGGAGACAAAACTCAATGTGGAAACTACAGAGGAATATCTTTCCTTTCTGTTGTGGGAAAGATACTTGTCAGGATATTATCAAATCGTCTAATCCCAATTGCCGAACAGAATTTCCCAGAGACATAGTGTGGCTTTAGACCCAACCGAAGTACAGCTGATATGATTTTCAGTGCAAGACAAATGCAAGAGAAATCCAGAGAACAAAATCGCCCTCTATACATAGGCATTCACAAATTTAGTGAATGCATTTGATTCGGTCAGAGAAGGCCTTTCGAAGATATTGGCAAAGGTTGGGTGCTGCATGATAATAAGAATGCAACCGTACTACCTAAGCAACGATGGACAAGGAGAGTCTTTTCAAATAACTACAGGCATTAATGTTCTTAGGAAGAATATGGTAAAGTGCCGCATAGGTACTAGCAACTAGGAGGCGACGGCCAATGATAGTAGGCCCTCATAGCGTCGAGTAGTCCAGGACGGACCACAAACTTTTGAAAAACAGCGACGCAGACACGAGACCGAAAAGAGGGACCGCAGGAAAAAGCGAGGGAACAGAGGAAGAGACGATGCTGCCAGAGGCTGGGTGTGCCAAGACTGTGGAAGAGTGAGCGGCTCGGAATTGGTTTATATAGCCATTACAAAACGCACAATCGACGACAATAATAACAGAATAGAAGATAATAATTATACTCGGTATCGAGTGATCGCCTATGATGATGATGGGTGATGGACTTGTGTTCTAATTTATTTGTAATCTGAAAGTGTGATTTCAAATCCAATTTACTTATTATGATAACAATTTTAGGCATATCACTTGTTCAGATAAATGTCCCTTATCTCATCTTTCATCTGGGACTATGAGATCTCACTGCTATCAATACTGGCCATCAGCATTGTACCATAATAGATAATGACATCACAACCATAATTATTTTGCATTCTAAAACTTTTTTGCCACGGCTCATGATATTTTTAACTGCTTCCTTACTGTTTGCAATATTTCCATTTTGTTGATGGAGAACTTTTTTGGTTTTTTTCATTAAGTTCCAAAACTTTTGCAGTTTTTTAATAGTTCGTCTTACAAATGGAACTGAAAACTTCTTCATTCATTCGCCAAGCATTATCTTTTTCTTTTCATGTTGCCGCGCCTCCTTGTTTACAATGGATAATGGATAATATATTTTTTTTTTCTATAGATAAAATTATTGATTATTCTTCTTCCTTGGAGAAATTTGCAGACCTTTTTTCACCATGATTCAAATTGAAACAAAAAACGCTATACCAAAACCCATAATAAATAGCCCGATTAGAAATTTCGTTGCCACTGATAAAATTAATATTATTGAGAAATCCCAAAAAATGCTGGTTTATTGAAGTATATTCTTTTCATTTTTCAAGGTGGCTTTTCCAGGGTCGGCGCAACCATTAGGCGAACTAGGTGGTCGCCTAGGGCGGCAAACTTAAGGGGGCGGCAAAAACGCAACAAAAAAAAATCTTTTGAATTTTGCTTTTCTTCATAATAATCAGAATTCCATTTCTCTTGCAAACCCAAACACAAACTTTGCCCTCTTTTTATGAGCATATACTCATGCCACAACCCTCATGCTATACCTGTTTCTGTTAGTAGCTATAGGGGTCGTGGGACCGGGTGGCGATTTTACTAAATATAAACTTTTAGAGCACAAGAGACGCTAGCCCTTGACATCATTGTAAAATATAATCGTGCTCAGCACATTCCTGCAAAATCTAATCGTTTGTAGCATGACGTGGCGGATCTAACCTCAAATTGCACTTGTTGTTAGAAGGTAATTATTATTGTTAGTGTTGTGTGTTTTCATTATGGATAATTTAATTCAACTTTTCAATCCATTGTGTAACAATGGAAATGTTAATATAATCGGAGTATGAAAATCAAAACAATTAGGTAGGTACATAGTACTCCGCCTAAAGTTAAAAGGGAAATCTGACGAAGAGTGCAATTCCGACGACTTTAACTTGCGTTGCAATGAGTGGGTGAATGAATTTTCAATAATAGCAAAGACACAATGGATAGTGAAGAAAACTTTGCCAAAACTGCAGAGATTATTGTTTCGTAAACAATACATGTGCCATTACAACAGTTTTAATAATAATAAATAAATAAATAAATAAAATAAAGGAAAACTAATAAAAGTTCATCCGACTGCTCGCAGTAGAAGGAAGAAACAAAATGTTAAAATGGGAGGAAAGAGAATTCAATGTGAGCGCCCTATTTATGTGAATCAGCTACGTTGTGCTGTCAACGATTAGATTTTGCAGGATTGTGCTGAGCTCGATTATATTTTGCAATGCTAACGTCTCTTGTGCTCTAATAGTTTATATTTAGTAAAATCGCTACCGGGTGACGGGCGGCCAAATACTACTTATTTTATATTATGAATATTTTTGGCACAAAATTGACGTTTTGGGCGTGGCACCAGAACAGGGGTTTTTCGCCTCTGCCGGCGCCTGCGGCGGGCATGTGTGTGTATATTTTTTTTATGTTGATATTCTATTCTATAATCTATATTCTGTAAGACAGGTATACCTATATTATGTTCAATCATCAATTAAACTATAAAACATGTTTTTAAAAATAGCCATGCATATTTGTATTTTTACTTGATGGGGGCGGCAGACAGAATATTTGCCTAGGGCGCCATAATCGCTTGCGCCGACCCTGGGCCTTTCCACTTTTTCCCCAAAAACCTTCGACGAATAGAATTCAACCAGTAATCACCTAACTGCCGATTGTTTGTTTCGTGTGAAACAAATTAATTCACAAAGTCATAGTTAACTCCAGATTGTGAAACTGGGCCGTTAGAAACAATAAGTACCTAGATGTTTTTTTTTACATATTTTTAACCAAATTTTAAATTAGTATTTTGGTTCGCCTCACTAATACTACTGAAATTAGTGAAATTTATAAATATAAGGGTTTCTCCTTTAACTGAAAAAAATTTAATTTCTAGCATGAGCTCATGGGATGTTGCAAGAGTAACAGTAAGACTAGGAGACCATAACATTAAAACAAATTCTGAAGTGAAACACGTTGAAAAGAAAGTTAAAAGAGTTGTGAGACATCGAGGCTTTGATTCCAGGACATTGGTGAGTGTATTTTTGTCAATTCTTTTCCCCTCACTAATAATATTTATTAATTAATTTAATATGTTGTAGTACAACGATATCGCAATCTTGACCCTAGAAAGTCCTGTAGAGTTCAGTTCTGTAATAAGGCCTGTATGTATGCCAACAGGTAGAGGAAGAGATTGGGCTGGTTCCACGGGAACTGTCATTGGTTGGGGAAGTATACGTGAAAGTAAGTTTAATTTACCCATTTGAGAATAGAAATTTCCCTTTCATAGGAAAAAATCAATACACAAATCAGTCCCGCATTTGTTGTTTGTATAAATTTATCTATGCATATAGTAAGTGTTTTCAGGTAATAAATTATAACTATTCTAAGGTGGGTATCAAATAACTTTAATGAAGGTAAATTAATGAGCTGAGAACTTCAATGTCGAATTTTTTACAGGTGGACCACAGCCAGCAGTTCTACAAGAAGTTAACATACCTATTTGGAGTAATACGGAGTGTAGGCAAAAATATGGACATGCAGCCCCCGGAGGTATTGTAGAACATATGTTATGTGCTGGACAAGCTAATAGAGACTCTTGTAGTGTAAGTATAACCTACATTTTATGCATAATTTTATAATTTTTGTTCAATCTATTTGGGTTTGCCAATAGGTCAACTTACAAATTAATTAGTATATCCATTCGTATTTTTGCTTGTTCTAGGGTGATTCAGGTGGTCCTCTCATGGTAAACAATGGAAAATGGACGCAAGTAGGTATAGTTTCATGGGGAATTGGTTGTGGAAAAGGTCAATATCCAGGTGTCTACACTAGGGTGGAGAAATTTTTACCATGGATAACCAAAAACTTAAAGCAATAAAAAAATATTTTCTCACTAGATTATAAGTTTCATTGAAGTGTGATTTTTTATTAAAAACAATTAGAATTTAATAAATTAATTAATTTAATGTTTTAATATTGGTACATATATATATTTTTTCTCAAATTAAACTTGCTCAGAACAACTATTCCACCTATCACCTATAGGTAGGTACCTACCTATACCATTTACTTCCCAGAATATAATAAATGCATACAGGGTTAGTAAAAACTTCTTCAAAACCGCTGAAGCTGCGTTTACAATTTTCGGTACCTGGGGGTTTTGCTCATGCAAAATTCAACAATGATATTCGCGCTTGTCAGACTTCCCAGTTTTGCGCTACGCGCACCTAGTCTTTTGACTTTTTGTTATCTTATTCTCCGGGATTTTTATTGCAATAAATTGCCAAATTTAGTTAGATGCCAAAAAGTCTATTTTAGAATGAACTCTTAAGTCTAAACTAATCGGAAACGCTTGTAAATATAAATACCTTATGGGCAAGTAACTAACGGGTATTATAAAAGAATGTCTATAATCCAACGGGCGAAACAATAACGCTAAGATAAGAATGAGATTGAAAGCCAAACATGGTGAAACAACAATAATTCAGCAGTTAGAATAATAATTTTATCGACACTAATTTTAAATGGGCTCTTTCGCTAAAATTTAAATAAAACGGTACCTAATTTAAGCATCAAATCTTAAACGAGGGACCATTTTAAGTATATTTTCTATGAGGTTAAATAGGTTTTCTACGAGCACAAACTGGACAATATAATTAAAATTTGCCAGACGATGACGAATTAAAAATAATTCAAATCAACTGTAGAATCCTGCTGCAGCGTCAAGGCGCAAACAGCTGACTTACCAGAGGGCAAGGTAATGGTAGGCAACTGTGAAAAGTGCATTCATTTTCTCAAAAAGGGTGCAGAAAATTGTATATTTGTTTGCTTTATCCAATTATGCCAAGTTCAAAAATTAGTGAAAGTGCCCATTAAAAATGTTCAAAGCGGACCCCTTATTTGCCAGGCGCAGGCAGTACCCAAGTCGATTATAAAACTTTCGCAGAGCATTGCTCGACATATTCGGTGTTATAAGTGCAACTTCGGTGCGATTCCTTCGATTTTTATATACACCGTTTTCTAAATGACCCCAGAATATGTCCGGTGGAGTCATATCAGGGAATCGATGTGGCCATTCTAATGCACCACTATACGTCTTTCAATCAGCCTCGGGGAGGTGGATGTTCAGAAATTCCCATGGGCGTCGTTTGGGGGGGGGGGGGGGGCAAGAGGGGGCATTTGCCCCCCCCCCCCCCCCCTAGAAATAGTCTTTTGAACAAGAAAGCAGTAAAAGAGAGTTCGTACCGATGGTTGAGTTTCAACCTTCGGTTGAATCCTATCAATTTGGATGGAGTAAACCGAATGTTGAAACAACCATCGGCTCAGTGCAGGGCCGAAGCCAGGGGGCAATGCCCTATCTTTTAAATGATGATGCCCTACCTTTAAAAATCAACATGCATTAAGGTTTCTCTAGAAAATTTAAGAGTAGATAATGCCTGAAGTAGAAAGGTCTGAAATCGAGTAAGCGAGGATGAATGTTTCCGAAAACGCCTAAGTCGCCTAAATGTAATGAACAATGTTTGACGTTTGCATAGAGGAAGTTTTTTTGTTTTGAAAGAGTAGGAATGGCCCAAGGCGGCCGGCGCGGGAATCAGCGCCATTTTGTTTACTTGCCAAAGATGTTATTTATTGCAAGGTTGTTTGATAGAGGCGAGAGAGGTAGGTTGCCAGGTCTCTTTATGACGTCATCTAGGGTGCCTCAACATAATGCAAATCTCTATAAGGTACCCCAGATCAAATGCGTCATCAAGTTACCCATTGCCAGACAAACCTGAACCTTGATTTATTGAAAAGTTTGCCTTCGGCAATCGGCGCCATTAGCCCCATTTTGTTTACCTATAAAAAACTTAAGTAGGGGGCAAGTAGTGTATGCCCTATGTCAAATGTATCATGCCCTATCATAAATTTGACTCTAGCTACGGCCCTGGTTCAGTATTTCATAATACCGGCCATTAGACAATTACCTAAACAAATGATACGGACAGTGAATTTGTAGCGGAAAAAATACCATCATTTTTAACTATCGATATCGAATAAGTACGTTAAAATGCGAAAAAAGGGGCGTGGCAACGAAAAAAAATTTGCCTTCGCCGGTTACCAGCGGCGCTATTGGAACTGATCTTATTATAGTGCTGGCCCCCCCCTGAGAAACCTCGTAACGATGCCCATGGAAATTCCCCCATGAATAGGGAGACGGACAATCATCATGGTACCAGATTTCACCTACATTTCTTTTCTGTTGAATGGCACAAATGCAGTCTGTAAGTGTACCTTCTATGAAGAAAGGTCTGATAATATTCATTGTTACCCAATATTTCCAAATACTTTCTCAGGATATCGAGTATGAAAACTCTTGAGCAAATTCTACAATAATTATGCCTATATTGACCTAACCGTTCAAGCAAAAAGTAGCTTCGTCGATCGCTAAATACAATTTTGTGGGCAAACTTGGGATCTTTGTTGATATTTTTTGTACGGCTTCAATTTGTTTTCCTTATAGATGACGATTACAAGTAGCGCAAAACTGGAAAATCTGGCAAGATTGCAGATATCACTGTTGAATTTCGCAAACCTAGATGACGAATTTGTGGACGCCGCTACTCCAGCGGGCTCAAAAAGATATTAAGGCGTTGCGGTACTTTTTAATAACGGTACGTGTAAATATGGTACAAAAATGTAAATTGAACCAGTAAGTAATTATTGTAGAAAGTACCGATCTAATTGGGTAGCTAATTATTTTCGTTGATAAATCCAAATAAATCTAGAAGGCGTTTCTACCTAACTGTCTAAAAAATAGATAGGCAAACGTTTAAAAAAACACCAATGTTAAATTCCAAACTGAAATATGACTATTGACGCCCACTGAGTCTCAACATGTCCCAGAACAAAGATACATTGATTTTGTAACGTTCAAGTGGGATCGCATTTCACTCAATTGACTGAGAAATATACAACACATTTATTGTCATTATCATTCTTCGTTTTCATCCAATTAGTTTGAATGTTTCCCAAGCTATTTTGGGTTTGACATTGATGTTTTTATAGAGAAGGTATTACAGTAAGGTGGCTATAATAAAACAAAACTTATGTCAATAGGTTTTGACATGTTTAGAAATTTAAATTAAGTGCGAGATTTGGCTGCTCAAAAAGTCCAGTACCTAGTTGTCAAATTTGTCGGATTAGCTTTTAATTACATTTTCTCTCAAATTATTTTTTGATGTAAGCCGGATCAGCTCTACTTACATGTAACAAATTGAAGAAAAACGTTGCGGCACTAACCAGAGGGCTCTATTTTTTAAGTATAGGAATGAAGAGTCTTCGAAATTGAGCTTTTTTTTTGGCCAAAAGAAAGTCTATTCCCGAATCAGAAAGTTTTCTTTGCCAGATTTGGATTATTCGGGACTAATTTATTGACGACTCCAGTGCAATATAAATTTAAAAATAAGTGTCCTAAGTTCGCTCTAGAGTAAGAAATAAATAAGAATAGAATAAGAATAAGAATAAGAATAATTTATTCAATAAATACTATTCTACTACAATTTTATTTTATTTTATTTATTTTTTTTTCTACTTAATAAAAAATGAATAAATTAAAATGCCGGCTAAAGTTTATTTAAATAAAGCTTGTGCGGCAATATGCTTAGATTTTTAGTTTACAGGACATTATTTATGGTTAACTGTTCAGTTATTTAACAATTCTTCAATTAAATCTAGATTAATTGTGGGAACAAAAAAAATTATTTTTTCCACCAAAGCGACTAAAATATTACACAATCCTAGGGTTGTTCTTTTAGTCAACCAATGCCTGAGTTTCGTTTCTAGGTCTTTGGATAATCCATTCCCGTACTTTATATCGAAATAGTTTAAGTGACGTTATTGTTTTTAAATTGGGGGGGATTTTGTTGAAAGTTCTTGGACCTAAGAAGTAAAAACTTCTTTGGGTGTGTGTCAAGTCTATTTTGGGGATTTTAAATGTTAAGTATTGATTTTGCCTAGTTAAATATTTGTGTTCTACTTTACTTTCGCTCTTATACACGGAAAACTGCTTTGTTATTATGGTATGACAGTAAAGTTGTCGAGCATCCAAGACTCGAGATTCCTCATACAAAAGTTCAGTTGGGTAAAGATATTTTTTTCCAAAAATTATTTTCAAGACCCATTTCTGAGCCTTATCTAACTTATCCAGGTAGTTATTCGTGACTCCACCCCAAGCAACAATTCAATATGTAATGTGGCTCTGCACCAGAGCAAAGTAGACAGTTTTAAAGTTACTTTTACATCTAGGATTTCCTTTAGTTTTCGGAATTTACCCAATAAGGATCGTATTTTTTTTGTTATGTAGTCTACGTGCTTATCCCACTTTAAAAGCTGGTCCACATATATACCAAGATACTTAACATGCGAAACTCTCCCAATAATCACATCTTCGCATACACAAGAAGTGGTTATAGCGAGATGCTGGTACTGAGGAAGCTTCGATAACTGTGATGCAAAAGCCACAAAATTGGTCTTTGAAGAATTGACCGTTAAAAATTTACTTTTAAAAAAATGAAAGATTTTGCTTAGCTCAGATTCAACTTTCGATTTCAAAGCGGTCCAGTCACTATCCTGAAATACAATAACGGTATCATCGGCAAAACATATTATTTCTCCATCAATTTCAAGGTTAAAAAGACTGTTCAAGTATAAATTGAAGAAAAGAGGGCCCAAAACCGTGCCCTGTGGCAAACCGCACCCGATTTTCGATTTTTGACTATATTTATCACCAATTTGAACTGCTTGAGTGCGATTTGTGAAATAGTCTTTAATTAGTTTGTGCGGAACGCCTCTAAAGCCACAGTCGTAAGCCACCCTTAGGATTTCAGAATGGTTGACGGTATCAAAGGCTTTTTTTAAATCGATGAAGACTGCAATGACCGGTTTTTTGTTATCTACTGCTTTATAAATATTTGTTGTTAGTTCTAACAGGGCATCTTCTGTGGACTTATTTTCCCTAAAACCGTATTGTTTTTCTGATAAAACTTTGTATTTTTTAAGAAAACTAGTGAAAGTAAAATTGTTAAAATAACCGACCAAAACTACTCAGATTACACATACATTCAAAATATTATAGATTAGTGATACAGATCCAATAATTATAAAATTATCAAACTTTTCCCTAGGGATGGTAAAGTTGATATGTTGCGTTCCATAAGGAGAGGCTTGCAACTGGTTCTTGGAGGTGCATTGGACACATTTCTGATGGCCCTTTTTTAAAGGTACAGGCTTTTCAGAGGTAAAGACTTTAAACACGCTCCATATTTTGACTTTTACATAATTTGCACTGAAGTGACAAGGGAGTATTGAATATGACAAATAAAAACTGATTATCAATTTGATTTCATAGTTTCATAGGTGAGTAGGTTGGATCACTTCTTCAATTAAAATGTTAAAAATAATTTACTTTGGCAAAACTGGAACGAACGAAGATATCGAACTATGGCTTTCACGTTTTTTCTTGCAAACTTTATCTACTTTCCGATAATGATGTCATACCTACGTTTAGGTTTTCGGAATAAAATTAAAAAAAAAAAATTATTATAGCAAATGTGCCCTCTAGGCCTCTAGCGATTTTATCAAAAGTCTACCGAAGGATACGACAAATAGAAGTAGGTAGGTACTTACCTTTTTCTTTCAAACAAGCTGTGCCCAGTCGTTTTCGAGATATGGCCAGTGGTCAGTGGTCAATACCTTAATGAAATACCTTTTTATAGGTACTGATGTGCTCGACTCATACGATAGTAAATAGGTAGGTATATATCTATATCGATATTATTTAAGCCTAATGTCAATAGTAGATTTACCTCCTGTCTTCTACATTTTTAATGTTTAATGTATAGGGAGAAAAAATACACATCTGATCCTATAAGTCGATTTATTTGCAATAAGTTAGAAAAAAAAGTTATCGCTAAATACCATTTTGTCGCTTATTGCGTAAACAAAGCAATAAACATACACAAAAAAGCACATATAATATCTAATTATACACTAAACTCTCGACTATCGCTACAATATATAAAACGCTTAAAAGGTGTAGGTAAGTAAATGTATACATTATAGGGGCCATGTGGCAACATTTAACCAAAACAGAATATATATTTACATCAGGAAGCAGAACCGCAATTAGGAACTAAACAATTTCCATATGAACGACAATGTCAATATATTTTCGAAAATAATAAGATTAGTTTTAGTTTCTCAAAAGCGATTCTTATTGATAAATGAATTCTAAATACTACTAAGGTTCAATGTATTTATTTAAACAACATTTAAAATGCATCTTTGGTAATAAAGCCTTAGAGTAACTATTAGCTATTAGGTAGGTAACAAAAGTGCCTTAAAAAATGGAGATAGTCAGACATCACCATCACACATTGTAGGTATTCAGAACACTATAAGGTATTAATTGATTAATAATTAAATGTATTTAAAGAGCTTGCTCTTGTTTGAGTTCTAAGGCCCATACGTGTTGTGGCCATCCCGTTCGACCTTTTGCTTTTTTTGAATTTGCCTCTTCCTGCAAAAAAAAAAATCCATCAGGTAGGTGTAACTACTTTTGTGTGGCTACCTCACAGCTTAAATTAAAATTAGCTGGTAATAGAATAAATATTAAATTAATTAAATTAATTAAACAAATAAAAAAATTAGAAAAATTAAAATCGCGAGCCCTGAAAAAATACAAAACGAGCAAAATTGCCCCCAAATTGTTCCACAATATATTAAACATAGCAAAAGTTCCAAAAGGACGAGAAGGTAGATTGAAACTGTTACAATAATAAAGGATGAACTAGAAGCACAGACAAACATTAGACAAATAGTGGGAAAGATGGCCTTAAAATGAGCATTCAATCGAGTTAGGCAGAGTGATATTTTGTCCCTACTAGAGATACACAACATCAACGACTTGCTAATCACTGTAAGTCTATGCTAAAATAATCGAGGATATGCCCAACGAAAATAAAACAAAATCTATAATGGCGATAGATGTGGAGTAAATTTGGGTGTTGCTGTCTCTAGAAAGACTCATTAGGCCCATTGCTATTTTACATACAAGGCCAATATGTACAGGGTGTTCCGAAATTAATAAATCAAATCTTTATGACATATTCTACGTCGAAAATAAGCCCTAGTTACCTATATAAACATATGTCTGGAAACGCTTTCTTTCCGAGATACAGGGTGTTGAAATTCTAAGAAAAAAACTATTTTTTTATCATAATTCATACCACTTTGAAATTTTATACACTGCTTTCAAGCAGCAAAAGACATTTTCTGATGTGAAATATTTAAAAAAAAAATACCAGTGACGTCACAAAACTAATTTGAAACTTTAGGTGTTTAATGTTTAACATTATTATAATTTTGGCGATTTCGCCACGAATCAAAATGGTTTTTTATTTTTTTACTTTAAAACGCATCTTTCGGAAAAAAGTGGAGAGATCAAATTTGTTCCAAATTGAATGGGGATTTCAAAAATGGTTTTTATTTTAGAAAAAATCAGTATTTTTTTTCTTAGAAAATATTTCTTACAAATCTGGTAGGACGCCAGTGGTAATTTAAAAAAAAAAAAAAATTTACCTCAAAATACGTCTTTTACTGCTTGAAAGCAGTGTACAAAATTTCAATAGAATACCTAGAGTGGTTTGAAACTTATGATAAAAACATAGTTTTTTTCTTAGACTTTCAACACCCGGTATCTCGTTTATATGGGACATATGTTTATATGGGTAACTGGGGTTTATTTTCGACGTGGAATATGCCATAACAATTTGGTGCATTAATTTCGGAACACCCTGTATAGTATAATACGCTGACGACGTTGTGTAAAGGCAATTTCGCATTTTCATGATCACGGCCGAAAATTACAAAATGTGCGCTATCAGTGAATAGCCTCGAAGGTGTAAATTAGAGGTGGAAAGCAAAATCATTGAATTATACCTGCTCCTGCAGATTGGTATATAATCACCGACAAACACTTAACAACAGAAGTTGAAAGATAGGTAATAAAAGCAACGAAAGAAAGTGGGTGTTTAATTTGTTTAATAGAAAATGTTGGGAAGAACAGAAAGCCACATAGATTAAGATAATAGTGTATAAAGAAAGCAACGGCAAAAAGATTCCAGCTTACGCGGCACGAGCGGCCACAAAAAAGAACGTAACAAATATTGTACAATGTAGAAACAATGAAGGTTTTGAAATCAATAAAGGGTATAATGCGTCAAGTCGTGAACGAAAGAACCTGCAGCTAGAACATGAATAAATAAGTAGATAAAAGCAACGGAAATAACAACAACAACGTGTGGTTGACAAACGAAATCTGACAACAACACTTTTTCCAGGATTTCGACAAGCTGTCTTATTGAGGCGATAATACCATGACTTCTAATTCGAAGGACGTAATAGAGGATGAAAATATCTTAGAAATTTTGTACAAAATTTGAAGGTAACATAAGTTCCTTCTCCATTCGCCCAATTGAAGCCTGCCTTTCTTATTATCAAAGTCATGGGAAGAAGGTGAAGAATAAGAAATTACTGAAATTAGAGGCTATTCGATAATATTATGTATGATAGGAGTTGTTGAATTGTGCATATGAAATACCTACGAATTGTTTCCTTCCTCACTAAATTATGTTTGTCCGAACGGGAAGCAATTAAAGAGTAGCGCAATAATAAATCTTGATTTTGATGGATATTTTGAATTCTACTTATTTTTTTAAGAGAAGACAAATATATTGGTGGTGGAGTTACGTGGAAGTTGTTGTCTTCCATCTGATATAAATATTTTAGAAAAATACGCCTCTGCAGGGAATAGCTAGGGTTAATCAATTTTTTGTTTGTTTGTGCAATATGTAATTCATGTAAGTATAATTCTAAAAAAGCATACTCATATTCATTCTGTAATTCAGCGGTTCTCAAACATTTTTAGCGATTTAACCCTTTATAGTAACACTAACTTTTTTACGGAGACCCAAAATCAGCAAAACCTGGTTTCATGTTTATTCTTTATAATACTTTAAAAAAAATCATACAAAAATAGGTTCAAATTCATTATTCATTATCCTTTTATTTCACATTTTTCTAAAAAAACACGATAATACACTTATGCGCACTTATTCACAAATGGAAATGGAAATCGCTGTTACATAGGTACTAGGATGGATTTTTTTTACATTTTTTCGACGGAGCTCTCGCACAGGCCTCGCGGAACCCTAGGGCTCCGAAGAGCTCAATTTAATCAATCGCTGCTGTAATCTATTGCTCCCTTCATCTTACTACAGTTATTGAACCCAACTTTGTGAGCAAAATAAAACAACAAAAATAGTTTTTCTAATCCGATTTAAGGTGATTATGATCTATTAACACCATCCCCCTCAATTTATCTAAGTGGGTTGGCATGTCCCAAGCATTCGCCCGGAATCAACCTCCATGACACGAGTCATTATCTTTCTTTCGAGAGGAGGGGTGTTCACTGAATCCCAACCCCAAACCATAATTTTCCCGTAATTTGATTATCATTGTGCCACAATAAGTAATTTACCTAATAGATCAGTTTTATTTGTTTTGACTTCGGTGCGATGAATTATGTCAAAATAAATTAGATTATATTTCGAATTGAGTATTGTCGCGGCTTTAAACCTTAAAAAGCGTTGAGAATGATCCCCAGATGGAAAGGACATCCTTAGTCTACAATCCCATTGCATGTGTCCAAGTTTTTGGCACCGGTAGCATTTTACTCGGTTTCTCGGGGTTGGTGTTTGTTTGGAATCGTTCCCCATTTTTCTATCTTCTAGTAACAGTTCCTTTATTCTCTCCATGAAATTACTCATTTTGGCTTCGAAGCTACCATCCTCTATTGACAAATGTTTTTCCTTTGGGTCCTCAATGGACACTGCTCGTATTCCGGGTCGTGAGGCACCAAAGATTGCTTCCAGTTCTAATGCTCGGACAAGGGCTTCGCTACTTTGTCTGAACTTGGACATTCTTAGGTTTTCCTGGATCTTCGAATCTCTGAGACCATCAATAAACGCAGATACTGCCATCCATTCCTGCATGTCTTCCCCAGCTGCAGGAAACGCCAAACTCACTAGCCTTTTAACTTCCGATTCGAATTCTTGTAGACTCTCGCCGGGTTTTTGAACTCTTGATTTGACTTGAGTTCTGAATACTTCTTGTCTGTAATGGTCTCCGAAGCGCAATTCTAACGTCTGACTTAGATGATGGTAATTCTGTTGGTAGACTAAAGGAATGGACTGAAGAAGGTCTAAAGCAGGTCCTCGTAGCGCCACAATTAGTGCTGTAGCTTTTTCTTGGTCGTTCCATCCGTTGGTATTTGCAGCAGCTTCAAATTGTCGGATATACATGGTCCAGGATGTAGAACCGTCGAAAGTTGGTGGTTTTATCTTCATACTGGAGAATGCTCCAACACTAGCTGGATTGAGGGACTGTATTTCTAATCTACGCATCTTATCCTCGAGTGCTTGAACTTGGACCTCAACTTCTTGTCTTAATTGCTGAACATCGTCTTTAACTTCTTGAACATCGGCTTTGACCTCAGCTTTTACTCCCTGAACGTCGTGTTTAACTTCTCTTACATCGTCTTTAACTTCTTGAACATCGATTTTGACTTCAGTTTTTACTTCCTGGACGTCGTGTTTAACTTCTTGCACATCGTCTTTAACTTTTTTAATCTTCTGGTCTAAGTTAGCGACAGTTCCTTGTATGGTTTGGAATATCTTCTGCAGTTTTGCAAGGTCTTCTTGCCGTTCTTGTTGTCGCCTAGCTTCTTCTTGTTGTCGTCTAGCTTCTTCTTGTTGTCGTCTAGCTTCTTCTTCTTGTTTTTCTTTTTGTCGCCTGAGTTCTTCGTCTTGTTTTTTTTTGTTGTCGTCTGGCTTCTTCGTCTTGTTTCTCTTGTAGTCGTCTGGCTTCTTCGTCCTGTTTTTCTTGTTGTCTTCTAGCTTCTTCGTCTTGTTTTTCTTGTTGTCGTCTGGCTTCTTCGTCTTGTTTTTCTTGTTGTCTTCTAGCCTCTTCTTGTTGTCGTCTAGCTTCTTCGTCTTGTTTTTCTTGTTGTCGTTTGGTCTCTTGAAGTTCCAACATTTTGCGCAGGAGTTCTTCAACTTTTTGTTCGTCCATTTTGGCTTGTTGTCTTGTGATAGGCATATACAGAATGTTCTAGAATTTCCCTCGAACTTTCTTCAAATATCTTTTCTGGTCTGTGCTCGAAGTTCCAACACGCCGGTGAAGTCACAAATTGGATAACTTGCTTTATTCGCGAATAGAATGTTCTGGAATTTCCTTGAAATTTCTTTTCTAGATGTCGATTGATACAGCAAACACGTCGGTGAAGTCACAATTTCGATATCTCCCTTGGTTTCCAAATAGAATGTTCTAGAATTTTCCCGAAACTCCTCGAAAAACCTCTTCTGAATGACGATTGATGTTCTGAATACGTCGGCGAAGTCACAAATTCGATATCTCCCTTATTTTCCAAATAGAATTTTCTAGAACTCACTCGAAGATTCACTATCACAGTCTAAATCGGGTATAGAGTCACTTCCGGGGTAAGTCTCTTTTTGTGATTGTCACTGTTTGCACTGCACTAACTGTCCCAGTGTTCACTTAGTGTTCAGTTTTTAGACTACACTAGTGTCCCCGCACTTCCGTTATTGGATTTCACTCTGCAGTCCTTTAAATCCCACTTCTGGCACCAGTGTCGCGGCTTTGGGTTGCCTGACAGAAATCTTGGGTTCGTTGTTCGTTTCGTTTATTCCAAAAATCAAAGTCCAATTAACACAGCAATAATTTATTCCACTTAACAAAACACTCTGACACTAATTACTTTATTAACAAACTCAACAATTAAACTCTTTACAATCACTATTTAAATCGTATCACAGTCGAACTGAAACTTAACTTATAAATCAATGCCGGCCTTCTTATATATCCCTAAATCTATTCCTGTAAAATCTAGAATACACACGATAATCTAATTTTCCAGATTAAAGTAGAATAATTCGCTAGATTCTAGTATTTCCGCCATCGATTCTTGACAGCCTGGCGGACGCCGTTTTTCTGGCTTTAACGATTTCGTAACAGTATTTATTTGTTGAATTATGCCTTCTGGTACCACCGTGCGATCATTTAAATTCGATAACACGGGCAGGGTGACCATGATTTTGAAAAAGTAGCGAACATATCACATCGGAAAAAAATACCTTTATTTTTTGAAATAACCTCAAATCTAAATTAATCATAAAAACTTCAACATTATTGGAATCAAAATTATAATTAATTTTAATTCAAAAAGATATTTAATTTAATAAAATTCCAACCATCCTTGTTGTCGAATTTTAATGATGACATATTTTTTAATATACGTACCTACTCGTTATAATTATTATAATAAAATTTCGAATCGATTTCTGAGTTGTGGCTGATTCTAAAGTTTATACATTTATTGAATCCATCGACACGGCACCCTGTATATTAGGCATATGTAATATTATGACGCAAATAATTATGTAACTACTTCCGAATCCTTATAAATATGTCATCACAAGCTCCAGAGATTTGGTTGATTATTGCTGTGTTAAGTGGCTCGAAACGTATAACTGATGATTGCTTTTACTTGATATAGGCAAACCGTGAAAGACGTCCTCAAAAACTTTTTTGTAATTGATTTTGGCTGCTAATATTTTTCTTAAAGGTTAATTAAGTCAAATTTAATTTTTTGTTTGCTCCGCCTCTTAAGCAGAATCACTATCTCTGTGAAAAGTTTATCATGCAGCCAGTCAGTTTAAATACGAAATTGATCATCATAAGTTTGTTCGTCCGATGTTCAAAGTGAGCATTTTAAACATGTTCAGAACAAGACAGAGTCAGAAAAAAAGACAATCCGACATGTATTTTCTCAATTAAATTTAGAACCAACCAATAGGAGCATGTTCGTTACTTTTTGACGTACAAATGTCTGGTCTAGGTTTTAAAAATGGCCACTGGGCGTCATCTTGAATTTAAAAAGATTACCTATTGAAAAGAGCGGTTTTGCGATACCCCGTTTTAAACTTTCAATAATTTACCACACGATTTTAGACTGTGGGAAAAAATGACGTATTAGTAGGTACTTTATCTTTTTGGCAGGGGTAAGTTTTACCCCAAAAGTTATATCCTATTTTGAAGGTCTCATTTTTTTTCTAAATCAACCATAACTTATTACCTTACACCATAAAGAGATTTTTTGATAAATGTACCTACATAGAAACTTTTGCGAAAACAATTTATTGTAATAAAATTATTCCCGAAAACAAATAAGTAGGATACTAAAAATTCCAAAAATATCAAAATTCACTCACCGAGCTATCGCTATTTGGAGAACCATGACTACTAATAGAACAATTATTATTATTGACTGTATTATGTTGCATACTATTGCTGTTATTGTTGCTCGATTTCCTAGGAAGACTTCCTAATTCTGCCTTGAATGTCCCTGGTGTATCGTCAGTTTCCAATGCTCTGGTTAAATACGAAATATAAGATGTTGCCAATCGCAATGTTTTAATCTGCAAAAATATTAATAGTTCAATAATTATAAGGAAAATAACTTTGGTCTCAGTTGTCAACTATTTGAACCATTTTATTATTTGTTTTGCCGCTTCTGGTGCAATGCACACCATCATCAAGGCTAGATGATATAATCAGCATGAAGTAGCAAACTGGCTTTATTTGGGAATAAACTAAGTTTGTTATTTCTTTTTAACTTACTTTTGATAATTTAGTATCAACAGGCACGTTAGGAATACACGATCGCAAGTCATGGTAAGCGTTATTTATACTTTGAGTCCTTCGTCTCTCTTTTTTATTTGCCGTTGTTCGTCGTTTTGCTACCCTTACAAATGGCGGTCCGATTACGATTGTATTATCTATTTCTCCAGGAATTGCTACAATAAAATAATATTTTGTACTTTTTAGCTGAATAAAATCATCTTAATTAATTGTAATTGACTCACTAGTTCTGTAATGTGCATAATGATTAGATGTAGGGCAACCTCCATTTGAATAAAGATAGGTACTATCAATTTGGTTGTGTGAATGATGAATATTACTTGGAGAACCTGATTCTGATCTTGGACTGTTTGACCAAAAGTTTGATTCGTCTCCTCCTATTGTGGATCCATCTGAAAAAGAATGAGAACTGAATTCGGTACCTATGGAGAATTTAGTGCTGAATAAACTTCACAAAACTAAAGTAGGTATTCAAGCATGATGAATTAATAAATAGTGGGGACACGGCCAATTATTATTTTTTATTTTTTGAAAATTTCTTTTTTTGTTAAAGCTCTCGCAATTCTTTAATTGCTACCTCAGTTACAAAAGTCGAGTTTAAGTTAATACATCTAGAAACATTAATTAATTTTGTTCTTGTGGTCCAAAAATGCTGACAGAAGAAAAAATTCTGTCAGCATTTTTGAAAAAATGAAAAATAATGATTGGCCGTATCCCCACTATTTATTAATTCATTATCCTAAGTCGAGCCAGGAAATTTCCTAATCTATTTATGTATAGGTAGGTACACCTGAAACAAGTTTTAAAACCTGCTGATTTAGTGGAGTAAACGAGGAATTTAAAAATAATTAGTTAGGTAAATCCAAAATCGACAGTTTGTTTTATTAAGTTTTTTTCCCGAATAAAAATAATCCAGGTTTACATTTACACAGGACTGAGTTAATAAAATTCGATAAACACACCAACCTTCCTTTCCTAAAAGCCTTTGAGACAACGTCAATAAAATTTTATTGACCTCATATAATGCTCTATCATCCTGTATACCTATGTATTTTTAGAACAAACACAAAAGGATGTTATTTGAACAAGAGTTTATTAGTTAACTTCTGGTAATAATAAATCTTAGTCTTAGTATACCTATGTATCTTCTGGCTGAATATTAGGTTGCCATTTTTAAGGATTTCAAATTAATGTAAAATTAAATTTTTGTATTTCACATTTGCAACTCTATCGGCTCTTAGAAAATAAAAAAAGGCTTCAAAGTTTGACATGCTTGTAAAATTCAATACGCAATAGCATTGGAGCCTGCAGTTCACGTGGAGTAGTTTCCTTATGTAGGTAAATATTGAAAAACAGAGCAGTTTTAAAGCTTCTTCGGAAAAAGAGAAATTTATAGGTATTCAACGTTGAGGCTCGTTTTTATCTGAGAGGGTATACGTAAACAAACAGAACTGCTACATTTAGGGAAGAAAAAATCCCAGAAAAATCCATGAAAAGTGCGAGAGGTGCGGTTTGGATATTAACACATTTTTTATTGGTTCCAACTTGCCATAAGGCTAGGAAAATTAGGATGTGACCAGCACTGGGTAATTTTTGGGGGAATTACATGGAGGGAAAATTTTATGACCACAATCAACAAATAACCGTAATTAGTACTACTTTGAATGGATCAGTCTCAGGACCAGTGCTTCATTCCATCCATGAGATGGATATGCACAGTCCAGTCACCGGTGCAGATTTATTTTGGAAATACTTTCAGTTAAAATCAAATAGATGTCATGAGAGCAAAATCGGTATTAAACGTTAAAATTACTCAAAAATCTTAAAGTTTATTGTCGAAAAACATTGTAATAAAAAATCGTGTGAACGTTTTATAGGTACCTACCAACAAGAGGCTCGGCTGCATAGCTATCACATTTGCTAAGCAAATGCTATAAAGTCATTATAAAATCTTACATAAATAAACAGAATCTCCATACAAAATGTCGCTATCCTTTTTTACTTTTTTATGTTTTTTGAATAATATACAAAAATATTATATTTTATAGCGCCACCGTACTCCCAGATGTCATTTTTTGAAATAATAAACAGAAGAAAAGCTGTTTTGGTATACATAATCAACACGGTACTATTATAAGAAGTGTTGGTGTAGAATAATGTGAAGAATCTGGCGAATTTTTGAGAAAATATCTACAATATTTTTGTCGGGAAGAAATATATAATGGTATTTTGGAAATTCAACTTAAGAAAGCAAAGTGAATGAGTTCACTTGTAGGTACCAACTAATATCTTGTACTTAATGTAGGTAAAGTTCATTTAAAACTTCAATAGAAAATACAAATTCATCAAGTAAATATTAGCGCTAAAAATGCATAAAACCAAGTAAGTACAAATGAAATTGATATGTTTTTACTTTACCTAAGTATATGGTGACCATATGCACCAACCGTTTTAAGGAAGCCTTAACGATAAGTATTCCTTAAAATGACATTTTCATATGGAGAAATGTCATTTTAAGGAATACTTATCGTTATGGCTTCCTTAAAATGGTTGGTGCAAACGGCCATTAGTCACTCAGAATTATGATGATTAGAATTTATAATTATTTTAATTCAAAAATTCAGAGAATCTTCCCAAATAGCATTTGGGGTTGTTTCCAAGAACGCGAAGTCAACAGGCAACGTCTATACAGGGTGTTCAGAAATAAAAGCAACAAAATTTGTTCAAAGATTTTTGAAATAGGGAACCCGTGTTTTTTATTTTTGGTAAATGGCCCTCCCTTTCGGAGTTACAGCCCCCCAGAATTCGCCCCTAAGAATAGTATTTTTTTCATTTCTCAGAAACCTGTTGTACGAGAATCACTATGTTTGGTACACAGAAGTTTTATGACATGAAAAATGATGATGGATGATGTGACGCTTTTAGGCGGAGGACCGCCTTAAACTTTTTCTTGAGTCCTCCTGTCTTTGGAGCCTCAAAGCTTTCGTTGCGTATTTGAATTTTTTTAAAAATATTATTTAGTTAGAAGGTCCATTCAATTTAGAAATCATTTTGTTGATTGAAATTTTTTCGTTAAAAACATTGTTTTCGAGAAAAATGGCGAACTGTAATCGAATGCATATCGAAATTCAACAGAAAACGAACTACTCGAGGAAATAAACCAGGACTTATATGGAACAACGAAATCAATCCTACGACAAATATAAATGTCTAAGTCTAAAAATAACATTTAACTGCACTCTCATAAAAGATCGAAATGTGCAAGAAATAATTGAAAATGAATAAAGGCATATCGAAAAACAATAAAAAGCATATTGGCATGGAATAAGGCTCAGAACTGTGGCTAATTTTCCAATTTAATTTTATGTCCTACCGAAGTGGATTTCTGGGAGGAAATGACAGATGCAGAACGTACACGGTTATAGGCCATAAATTGACCACCCCCTATACAAATATAGCGTCGTAGCAAACATGGCCTCCTATTTAGATCAACGGAAAATATATTATTAAAATAGAACGTAATAAAGCAAGGAGAGTTGGGAGTTTTTCTTCGTTTAACCAAAGCTCCACACACTGTATGTATTGTTTTGGTCACTGCCAGATAACATAGTACGTGTGGTTCTACTCCTATAAGAAAGACAATGGAAAGAACCCGAATTCTCTATTATTGGATACTACACTAATTGCATACCGGTGTCGAGCTTATTAGCTCTCCTCAGTGCAATATAATTTTTAAAAAAATTAACGAGTTATTTAGGTGGTCACTTCACGAGCAATAACCCTGTACTAGTGGAACACATTAGAACAAAACAACTGGTATGGTCCCAGCAAATGGGAATCGATAGTACCAATACAAATTGTGCAATGGAAGAAAGAAACGAGGAAAACCTAGAAAAAGATGGAGGCAAGGCGTGGATAATGAAATTCCCAACAGTTAAGATGAAGATTTATGATGCGCAGTAGTGTTACAGATATTTAACAAATTATTTATTTTTGAAAACTTTATCACCCTGTATTTGAAAAGTAAAGACGTTTACGACGTTCATATATGAAGTTTTCTTCTTAAAATGGACCTTTTCAAAGCGCCCCCTTAAATATTGACATTCAATTAGAAAACACCCGTTATAGAGGGTACGAAATTAGAGAATCAGATTAATTTGATAAGTAAATAATTTTCTTTATACACTGATCTACTGATCAAAACGAAAAAGGAGCCACTTCAGTAATTCAATATAATTTCTTAATTGCATTAGAAAGAAAAAAATCTGTTTTCGCAGCAGACACGCATCAGTTCCATATGAAACCAAAAAGGTTGTTTTTCAGAAGTGGTTTTTTTTTTCGTTTCCACCAGTGTAAATGAATATAGCTCCATGTATTTGATATTGAAATTCAATAGTTTTAGTTGTTTTCCATAGGTACCTGCATTTAGGCTTGGAGTAAGGTGAGAAATTTCTATCCTACAACCAGCTTCAGTAGAAATTGCCTCGTCAAATTCCAGAACTGAAGTCGACATTGTGATAATTTCTCCCAATGTTAATTCACAAAAACATGAGGAATACTTTGATGATAAGAAATAAGAATATTCCGGGTGGTTAAATTTGCCTGTAAGTTTTACGACAGAATATTTTACTTTCAACTTATAAAATCGAAAAATAATTTGTATCCTCCACATAGGAAAACGCATGATTTCTCTGTTTAAAAAGCCGACATAATGGGCCTATTCGGATTTGGAAAAAGGACGGTTCTAGAACGGTACAAAACAATCGCACAGTTTATTATTGTAATTTGTGATAGCTGAGTTGTTGTCATTTTGTTGATTCATAAACTGTCCGATTGTTTTGAACCGTTCTAGAACCGTCCTTTTTCCAAACCCGAATAGGCCTAATACTTCTTTTGACTGGCTACCATAAGTTACCAAGTGAGAAAAGTCTGGAATCTTGATGAAGATTCTGACATTTCTGAAGTAGCAATTGCTTGTAACGAAGTAGGTTTTGAAAAACCAAGAGATTTATTCCTCTAATCAACAAAAGCAAGTTAGATAAAAGCGACAAAATGCTAAAAATGCATCCTTGTCGTCCTATATTCCATGAACAACTGTCTATTGATGAAGCCACGGTAAAGCCTTTTGGTAGACATTCTAGCGCACAATAAACTAAAGGCAAACCTGTGGAATTTGGGTCAAAGAACTTGATGATTTGAAGTCCTAAAGGCTTCTGTTACGCCTTTTTGACATATTGTGGTGCCAAAAATATCACTGATGGAGTCGCCGTTTTTCCTCTGCGATATAGCAATTATCGGATCATATAATTTTTTTCGGCAAATATTTCAGCAGCCATAATGAACTTCGATCAGGTTCAGCGAGCTAATGGAGCAGTCCAGGAAAATCGAACAAGGAAATGTCAACGGCTTCAAAAGCAACGTTCGATGTTGCTCAGACTAACATTTTTCGGAACTATACGACAAATTAATGGGCGCTGCTGATCTACATAATCAAGCTGCAAGCAATTACAGAATCTCAATGCTGGGCCAAAATGGAGATAGGGGCTGTTCGTTCACTTATATGACTAACGTCTCTTGTCAATGATTAAAGGACATTTCAAATTGTGAAGGCAGAACCAATTGGTCTTACCGACTTTGATTAAATGATAGTTCGCAATTATTTGGCTAGTCAAAAAATCAAAAGTATGAAATTACATGAAGGTAGCTACTTCCCACTCAAATCAGAAACAACTAGGATGTACCTACTCAGACGGTCAGATGGAGTCGTACAAAATATAAAGTAGGTAACTTGATGTGCTGAAGGAGATTGATTTGTCATTTATTACTACCTATATAACAAGCTTATTTTTTGTTAATAATGTATCAAAATTTTGCTTCAAATGGTTTTGTACGCCATTATTTTTGTTTGTTGAATTTGAAAAAATATGAGTTTTCTTTCAATGAAATTGGTGCATAAAAACTATACTGAATACATGGGTCTCCTGGCTAGCCCATCCCATCACCAAATATGGGTTGAATTTACTTCTTTGCTCGAAATCACGTATAGGTATTTGAAAAAATATTGATAAAGTAACATGATACTGGAAAAATGATCTTAGGTCTGAATGGAATGGAAGATATTCACCTAGTGATACTTCTGCATATAGATATTTTATCTTATAATTATTATATCTGAGGATTTTTCTTTTCAATGTACCTATCTAAAACAACACTAATACTTTAACATCATGTGTATTCCAATAACAATGGGCGTATTTGTTGTCAGAAGTACATTTCTTTTTGAACATTTTAGTAAGAAGTATCTTATTAAATATATACGTATATAAATTATTTGATTGGGTCTATTGTCTATTAAATTTGAGGCTCGTATACTCATTGCCATTCAACGACTTAAATTTCGATGTATGAAAACCTACTAGAGAATGTTATACAGTTTAAAACGATTTGTATTTTTTTTTAGTAGTAGTAGTGGACTCCAAAACTCCAAAAATTGAGAAAAACGTCACGTAGAAAAAATAGAGAAACCGTCCCACCGGTCACAAATTCTTCCCAGTTTCACGAATCATAATTATCTCTTTCTTGACAAAAAGATAAAATTGTCCACTTTCATCTTTTTGGATAATGGGCCATTCTACTGCGAAGAATTATTTTATGTAGATTTGATATTTATTTTCTCATGAACAGTTTTAAGATTGAGATTTCGATTTGAGATTTTTTTATGGTTCTGTACCTACTAGAGAACTACGATCATCAACAAATACAGATCGCTGACCACTATTGAAAAAATTTAGAAAAATCTTACCAGACATATAATGATAGTTGTGAGGATAAGTGAACTGATATACATCTTGATGATCAGAAGGGGAATTACTATAAGACATCTTGGTACACTATTATAAATTCACAAGACACGAAAAAAGAAAACTAAATGACAAAAATAACGACCAGTCATACACAAACTCAAAAAATTTGCATTCGTTAAGTACCCGGACTGTTTCGAAACTGACTTAATATTTACTGCTGGAATAAAGCTTATCCCGAAGGCGGAGTTTATCCCGGCTTCCGAAACGGGATTGAACAGATCTTGGATGCAAAGGAGGAGTTCCTGGATCGGTTCGTCCTACTCTGTTAATATAAAATCAATATTTGATCGAATGCCAATATTTTTCTTTGATGGTGATAATGGACTTTTGAATAAAAATAATCTGAAAAAGAAGTAATAATTTGAATGATAAAAATTAATGCAGTATACGTTGTTTAATTTTGACTAGAATTAATTGTGTTTTACCTATTCAACGAAATAATAGTTTGCTTATTATTTTATAATTGAGTATTCCAAAGTGGATTTTCAATGCTTCAGAACAGGTGCCACACAGCTGAATTGTCCATCATTGTGTAAAAATGCGTGAATGTGCTGACATTTTAATGGTGGGTATCTATTTTTTTTTTCGCGGCCTCGGCCAGAAAGCAATTAGTTTTGAGGGAAACTTTCGGCCCAAGGATTATGTTTTTATCACAATAAATTTCGTCCCACGGTCCCACATATTCTAATATTACATAGGTAGGTATTATAATAATTTAAATTTCACCCCTGTGATGCCATCATATTATATCTAATATAATGTTGTTTTTTGGTACCTCATAAAATTTGTGAAAGAACAAGAAGACGAATGGTGAAACAAGTAGTATGTATTTTCTTACACCGACAAAGTTGACAAATTCTCTATTTTGTATAATGTAGGTACCTAGGTACTTAATGAGTGAATTCGTATTCATTTGAAATTGAAAATTTTCATGATAAGAAATATATCTAGCTGTTTAAATTATAAAATTAAATATTTAAGAAAATTGGCCCATAAATGTTGAATAAAAGACATACAGTGAAAACTAAACAGACCCGATTTCTCATTATTCATTAGATACCTAATGTCTACATAAATCTCGAACACGTCGAATTTTGTACCGAAGGCTTCATCCCTAAAATTTAGGAACAGGAAAGGGGACTAGTGATCAAATCAAATCATTTTGTTCGAAAAGAAGTAAACTCTTCAGATTATTTTTCTTGAAATGAATTTCCTCGAAAAATACAAAAGAAATAGGTAGGTAAACCTATAATACCTATAAAATCGTATCCCTGGTTAGATTTCCATTGGCCCAATTTCTATTTTACGACTATGAAAACTAAATAATTGCTCTCCCATTGTTTTCTACCTAATTTTTCGATAAGTTTTCTTTGTTTTTGTTGTTTATATTTATAGTAATTCTGAAGCCATAATTCTGTAACAAGTAATTCTCTTCGGTCACTCTATAGATGAAAATGACAAAGTTCAATTCCTTTTCAAATTCAAGACACATGTCTGTCATGAAACAAATAGGGCATCCAATAAAACCTGAACCAGAAAAAAAAATGTTAAGTAATTTAGACATGTGTTGCGAAGGGTTTCAATAAATCAAGCAGTGGCGCCCGCCAGTGACAAAATACTTGATATATGGGCACGCCCTTCTAGCTTCACCATCACCCTTAACCTGTCAACCCAAATGCAATACATCCTCGGGTTACATTGTTACATAATAAAGGCTGCCTCAACAGGTCAACGAGTACCACTTGACCATAAATTGTAAATGCAAATTTATTGGAAATTGATGCTTAATTGTAATTATAGGGTATTTCACAACTTTTCCGACAAATTTTAGTCACATACCTATACAGTGTTACATAAAAAGTTGATTTTTCAAAAAATAAAAAAATAAAAGCCTTGTAGAAAACGATAATACGATAAAAAATAAAAGGGTTTATACCAGACCATGCACTTCTTTCTACAAAAGCTGTTCAAAATTGTCTCTATTAACTTGAACGTTTTGGCGCGTAAGTTCGAAAATTCCTCCTGCTTGCTGGTCCCGAAGATGTCGATTATTGGAAACCGTTCCGATCCGGTAACGAAATTCCCCAATATTGTATACAGTGGGTACGTATACCACATTTTTCAAATATTCCCATAAAAATAAACCTCTCAGTAATCAAAAAAGGTGTTCCACAAGGAAGTGTTTTGGGTCTTTGCTGTATTCACTGTATACTGCTGATTTTCATTCGTTTATTGAGCATTGCTCTATTCATAAATACGCAGACTACACGCAGATCTATTATGCATTCCTAAATTCTGAGTTAGACACTGCACTTTTAAACGTAAATATTGACCGACAAATTATGGCAGAAGTTTCGAAGGCTCACAACTTGGTACTTAATGCTAGTAAAACTGAACTCATGTTATTTGGTCCAAACAAAAACTCAATTCCAAGCAACCCAGTATTTTCCATTAAAATTATTAATGAATGACCATGATCTTACACCTAAAGATTGTTGCAAAAATCTTGGAATTATTTTAGATAATGAACTAAGGTACTCTAAATACATTAACACTTTAATTCAAAGTTCTTACGGTAGGTTAAAAAAAAATTCTACTGACGTTTCATAATACGCCTAAAATCTGTTTCATAATGAACTTCATTATGATACAGATTTTCATTATGATACAGATTGTTCAGCCACTAGAATCGAGTATTTTGAACATGAACAATGTTTATATAAAAATAACAGACTTGCTTTGGAATTTTGGATTGTTCCTATTAGTTATATTTACCAGAAGAAACAACAAAAAATTGATAAATCGGGTGCGGAATTTATGCCCAAATGACGTCTAGATCTTAATTTTTGAAATTGTCAAGTTGTCAACAATTGTCAACAGTTGAGAAGTTTACTATTCTTATAAAATAAATATGTTTTTCGTTTATTAATGCAAGTAGAAAAAATAGTGTATGCAACTCTCATGTAATGGCCATTAATACACTCGCATGTTATGTACGAAACTCGCCTGCGGCTCGTTTCGTATCCTACAACATGCTCGTGTAGAAATGGCTATCTATTACATGATCATTGCATAATATACTATTATATATGCACAGGAATGTGTTTGATATTAAAATAAAAATTTCCATTATGCGATTCCATGGTGTTATCTTTCTTGAATTATTGTAACATTCTGTATTGGCCTGCTTTGTTACGAAGAGATAAGAAGAGTTTACAAAAAATTCAAAATGCATGTGGATATTGCTACAACTTGCGTAAGTTTGAATTACGTATTTGAATGAAAAAAATATCTCAGGAAACTACGGACCACTCAGCCTGACGACAAATTTGTCGTATAGCAGCTAATTGCTCAAGGAATGCTCATCATTAAATACCTATCCAAACTGACATGCTTAAAGTTGTATCAAAATTTGAACTTTGAAAATGAATAAATTTAAGACGTTAGTTGTTCAACTAGACAAGCAAAGAAGAGTAAATCAAAAAAGCTTTTAAAATACAAGATAAGAAAATTAACATTCTCGGGTGTGTATTAAAGTAGCATTTATCGAGCCGATTTCAAGTGGGGTTTTGGTAATGTGGGAACTCTTGAAACATGTGCATAAGTGGCGCCAACTTAAAAAGCAGCCTGACCTTAAAAATAGACTGGTCAGCTCGTAAAACACGGAAAAGGGTGTCGGATTCTGTACGTGGTATGGTAGGTATCTAATATCAGTAAATCAGTAATGTAATATGCTTTATTCGGATGATAGTTTATTTGATGTTTTGTAAAAACATGCCTTGTGAAAAAATAGCACTTTTAGCTTTTAGGATTGTTTGAGAAATTCAGGTACCTTCATGAGAAGCCTAAGAAATTTGAATTTCAAATGGAAATTTCAGGCAGTTTTCGATAGGTGCCAAAAATTGAGAAAAATAATTTAATTTCAATTTTAATTAGTCTTCCAGAGAAGCAATTGAAAAATATTCTATGAAATATGCGCCGACAAATCTTTACCCCTGTTATCATAATTCTAATGACTGATTTGAAAGTCTAAGCATAAAGCTTCCTGCGGTGTTGCATCCTTCATGCATAAATAGTTGATTAAAACCAGGTGTGGTACCTACCATCTTCCAAAGTACATACTTCAAAAACCTTAATCTCTAATAATTTGATAATAATATAATGCGAGGAAGAAAACTTATATCGATCGGGCGCGAAAGTGTCTGAATTTCCACCACAGTTTCCAGGCATTTAAACTTCCAGACACTTATAACTTAAAGGCCGTAGTTATAGGTATATGATATTAAGCAAAGCAGATCTCTGAGACCTCCATTATATTATAAACTTCAAATTCAGGATGAAGATTATGTCGTATTGAAGAATGGAGATAGTTTTTTGCGTGGATAAAAACTATATCTACTATAACTACAGCAAATACCTAGGGGTAGTTTTTTTTTTCTCTTATTCAGATATTTACTCCTTTCTGGAAACTCGGTAAACATAATTTTTTCGAGAAGAACGGCAAAATGTGATCGAATGCATATCGAGATTCGTATATGAAACTCGTGTTATGTACGTGCTAATAATAGGAGTGAATGAATTTTCTGACAGTAATCATCAACCAGTTGTTCTGTTTGTCTCGAAAAACTGGTGAAATTGTGAGATTTTCCGTGGAAGAATGGGTTCAAATGCATACGATTTAGGGCCACAGCCTCTATAATTGGGCAAATCCACGTAGATTTTCAATTTATTGCTGGGATGGAAGCGTCGGGGAATTGCATATTCGGCTTACATTTCTTGCCTTCGATCACGGTTAAATGCTGAAAGTTACCAGGAACTACCGATTCTCATGAGAGACACAATAGACCTATTCATTTACACCTGAGTGCAGATAGTTGCGTTGCGTGCGCAATAGGAGGAGAGCTTTCATCGGCTGTAATGCTGTAATAGTCCTAGCGATACATGAAAAACGCGGCAAATTTTGTTAAAAGCATGAATTTTGGTACACTTGGTCTTTAAACCATAACAATTGATTTGGCCCGTAGCAGTACCCCACAACTGTCATTTCTATATATTTGTTTAAACAATTCACTCGATCTGCACAAAATAGGCTTACCAGATGCCAATGCCGAATAAAATTCACATTG